GGATCGTAGATCTGAACTCCGCGGGAGACTGTAGAGTGTGATAGAGTAGGTTGCGGTAGAATCCTACTCCACGATCCAAAAACGGAACGCGTGGAAGATTCGTCTAGCATTATCTAGTAGCGTGGAATCTCTCCACGCCAGCTAAATATATCTCGAGGTTGATTTCACCATCGACCTAGTATATGACTAGCGGTCATGAGAACCCTGTCTCAATGACTATTCACGAAAGACTAGTCATGAGTCGAACTCAACCTTATCTAGGATCGAGTCCGAACAAGGCTAAGAGCCGTGTATTGCATTCGCCCCCTGACAAGGGTCACGGAAGGCACGACATCAGTCGGACAAGGAGAACATATGAATTAAAGTGCGGGGCACTCTCCGGAGATTGGATGTAGACATGTGGCGTCGCACGATGGAAATCCTCAAGGGGATCAGGCCTTGTATGGTGTAAATACCTTATGTTCCAAGTCTGGTAGACTGTGCCGCTATTGGCGTAGTATGTCGGAGCCGTGCAGTGCCATTGTTATTGACTCGGTCTGTGTGGTAAGGACCTTGTGCGTTGGCTGACCGTATTAACGGTTCTGATACTGATGAATATCATAGTATCGTTGACAGGTGTTGATGAGGGACACGTGCGTGTTCTCCTTATCGGTGTTTTCTGGATAAGTCGTTGGCGACGTTCCTTGATGTAATTCCGTTTGCTTGAAAACGGATGTGGTGAGTCTTGTCACGATTGACGCGCGTAACTTGCGACGAAGTCCATGTTCATCTCGGAGAGTCTTCTCGACCTCTACGCGGGACTCACGTTCTCTGTCAACATGCGTCATGGATCCTGGGTAACCCCACGTCTGGTTCAGAACGATGGTTACTCCGTCTGCTGTCGTGGAGCAGCCCTTGGTAGTTCATTGGTCCAATGAATCTACGAAGTTACTTCTGTTGGTAGGAAGAGCGATAGCTGGATCGCATCTGTTTTCTTTTAGTTAAGAGTTGGCTTCCTTCTCGAGAAGTCCAATTGTCTAGATACTCCAGTTCTTCCTATCGAGGAAGGCCTTGGTAGTGTTGATTTCAATCCCGACTTTTTGGAGTCTTTGGGAAAGGTCATCCTACTGTTCAACGCGATCTGCGAGATCGACGTCCGTTAGGATGAGTTGATCATCAACGTATTGCACGGACATTTTCTAAGTCATGCATGCGTGCTTTCATCTTCCTTTGGAAGATGTCGGGACTATTACATAGGCCCATTGGCAACCTCTGGTACTCGTGCTTTCCCTTCGGGAGTGCATGTTGCAATGGCATAGTGATGCTTCGAGTGAGGTGACAGCTCGATGTGGTATTGTCCCGTGTTCAGGTCTGGACTGGTAGCGCACTTGAATCCATCTGGGTTCAAGAGCATGTCCTGTATTTTTGGGATAGGATAAGGCTTCCGCTTGATCCGTTTGTTCGTTCCCGAAAATCCAAGATGAATCGTGCAGATCCCTCTTTCTTGGGAATGATAAAAGTTGGTGCCGCCCACTTGGAACGATTCACCTTCTTGAGTGCCCTGTTTCGCAGAGACGTTCAACCTCCTTCTTAAGGTGTTGGTATGGACCCGTGAGTAGGGTGAGCCCTAGTGTAATAGGATTTAACGTCAGGACGAAGTTCTACTTCGTAGTCGTCCATTCGCAACTCTCCCAAAGTATCCTCGACTGGTCGAAGCACTTGGTTGAAAAGGCATGAGGCAGTTCTTTGCTCCTCCTTGTTTAACGGATTTCGACTCTGGCATATCTGCCTTAAGCCTATTTGTTCGTATGTCGTATCAAGAATCTTCTTGAGACCTATTTGCATTGTCGCTGACAGCTGCAGAGTCGGAAATGGAGAAGTTCTCCTTTCTATTGGTGTTGCTCTCTTTCGCCGGGAAAATGCATGGTTCCACCCCGATGACATGGTAGTGAAATCGAACTTGATTCTTAGATCGCAGAGAGTGTCTTGACCTATGATCACGTCTTGCGCCCCCAAGTTCTTGGTGACGTGTAAATCCACTTGATAATTCTATCATCGTGGAACTCAGGAATCGCGAGTGTGCCCTACACTTCGTGCGGGGTCTCAGTTCCTTCATAGAAGCAGTCCGTAATGTTTGGACGCCCCCATGATTCTTCATGCATAACTCTTAGATAGTTTGAGCAATTAAGGGTCCGGATTCTTCTGTTTTTAGTAAGCAACAGAGTGTACGGGTTTTCGTTTCCCTTTCTCTCGTCTGTTTAATCTAACATAGACGATAGTTTCGAGGTCCCTTGTCTTGCGACGTTGTCTCCAACAGATCAACAATGAAAGTCAGTCGGTTGAAATCTAGATCCAAAAAGTGCAGGTTGGTCATGAATTCGATCTCTGTCGGAATTGTTCCTGTCAACGTGCCGCGTTCCATTCCTTGCAAGATGCGAAAGAATCAAGGTGAGGACTAAAAGTAGAAACTTGAACAAGATAGAAGCAACGACCATGATGTACTTACCCCAAACTTCCAAATGGGTCAAGAGCCCCATCTCTGTAGGGATACCGCACCAGTTGTTGAAGCTCTGAGAACCACAGCGCAAATCCTGTGAGAAAGGTGCACGAGGGCCTCGCACAAAGGATCCGAGGGCACACACAAAAGAATTACTTACCAAACTCAATTTCCGTCACACACAACTCTTCGTTGCAGAAAACGCCGGCCCATTCGCACTCGTTAAAGCCACTGAGGAATCTTTGCTTCCCAAGGAAGGGCTCTTCGTTGCCGCAGTCATCATCTGCGAGCAAGTTGTCAGAGCATTGGTCCCAGTCATTCCCGTTGGTGCTGAAATACATGACGGCAAGCACCCATCGTTGGACAATCTTGGGGTCGTCTGGGCAGATTTTTAGGGCGTCTCCGTTCAGCAACCATTCGGTGGCTTGTCCTTCGGAGGTGGATGTGTCGGCGAGCACTGTGGGGTCTTGAACGGCCGTAGCGCCTTGCAAGATTGCCAAGATTTGGTTTCTACGAGCTTCGGCAGACACTCCTGGGCAGCCGACGACAGTGGGTGTGGGAGTGGGAAACGCGCTTGGGGAGGCAGAGGGCGTGCCGGTGGGAGATTTGCTAGGTTCAGAGGATGGCGAAAAAGTCGGAGCAGAAGAAGGGCTTGCCGATGGACCACTTGTTGGGAGTGCAGATGGAGTTGTGGAGGGTCGATCTGTTGGAACAATTGTGGTAATCCCTTTGATACCCCCAGAAGGTGGAGAGCTTGGGAAGTTGCTTGGGGAAAAAGTAGGCCTTGCAGTGGGAACTGTGGACGGGGTTGCACTTGGGAATACAGTTGGTGCAGCTGAAGGCGCAGAAGTTGTTGGCTCTGAAGGGGAGGGTGCCTGACTGACTGATGGCGAGATCGAGGGCATTGTTGATTCCGTGGGGGCTGGTGTGAAAGTTGTTGGAGCCGATGAAGGTTGGATGGACGGAGCCTTCGATGGCAACAAAGATGGGGCAGAGGATGGTCCCAACGAGGGATTGTCCGAGGGTACAGCGGTGATGACAATCGTAGGATCAATGGTCGTGTCCATACTCATGATTCCGTCGACGTTGAATGCATCCATCAGCTCTGTCATTGCATCTTGCTCATCGTCAACCTCCAATATAGTGTCTTGGAGTGGCTGAAAGACTCGATAGGTGGCCTGCATGTTTGCCCAATCTTGCCTGCCTTAGAACCGGTTGATGAGTGATTGGCCGATGGATCGAAGTGCGTAACGTGCTCGAACGAGATCGTCAGCGTAACTAAGTGTTCCGAAGCTGATTGTTTCGCTGTAGTTTGTGCCCACCAAAAATATACTGAGACTGTGTGAGCGCCTGAGTGTAGATCTTATCGCGTGAGCAATTGAGAAAGCAACCGACAAATCGTGGATTAAGAACGAAACCGACCCAATAGCTTTATCCTTGATGCGATCTATGCGAAGATAGTCACTAACTTTAGGTTATCCGTGAGTAACGAAGAATTCTGAATCAATAATGGTAGTACGACTCCTGTATATTGTCTATGCGATCCTGGAAGCGTTTGCCTGCTTCTCAGATCCCAGACGAGGGATGAGTCTCCAGCACCAAATGTCCAAATCCGTGAATGGAGTCGCATTTGTAATGATAATCAAAGCAACTGCGGGCATGTATTGCGGTCCTTTCTCCAACCCTCCCGGCTGCCTGTAATAGCAATCTCCTTGTCAACAGCAGCCATCTTCTTGTCCATCATGTGTATGGATCCATAATCATGAGCAAAATCGTCGTCACTCGTAATCCGTCGGAGCCCGAAAATCCGTTTTTTCTCACGAGTGCTCTTTAAAGACGAGTACATTGCAATGGCCCTAAACATATAGCACATCAGAGCAATTGTTCGTGCTTTCAGTGTATTCGATCAGCTGCTTGAGCCCAAGCAGATCACTAGTGCGGCCATGGTCAACTCGCGAAGACATTTGAAAGCTGGATTCGTGCCCTTTCTCAATACTTCTGTGACTCGTTGAACTTTCATAATTGTATGACCACAGTCCAAGCACAAAGCAGTAGTGCAACAGTATGGGATATGGATGCAATCATGGAGTGACTCGCCTTTCGAAATATCAAGTCTGGATTCACGGTTGTGTGACTGGCAGATGTGGCGTGCCGACCTGCCCAATGGAAACAACCTGCTCCATCTCGAGAGTCGAGTCTCCCAGGCAGATGTCTCTGCGTGAACCTGTGTGCTCAGGAAGACGATTGTGATGAACAACTCGACTCCTACCCCTAACTATTGTGTTATTCCTATGAGCAGGGATCCAAGATGGAACTGGTTGAAGGTTGTTGGAAGCTGGGGTTGTACTGAGAGCACAAACACCTTTCTTCTGAGTACGAAGTAGACGTGAAGAGAGTCTACCTTACTAGCCGTGGTAGCGTTTTGGCGCTTCGCTGCACAGCACTTCCGTGAATAACATCTACCAGTACTATGTGTCTCCTCTAGTAACGTCTGTGGCTGTCCTGAGTTGTTGTCAGGACGAGGACTGAGGATACTGTGCCTTAAGTAGCGCTTACTCTCAAAATCTATATGCGAAGTTCTCAAAGCTAGCTAGAGTAGTGCTGTAGTTGCTTGTATCTCTGTCGTCCGAGGTAGAAGTGCGCGCAGTCAATCCACTGCTTGCTGACCTTCATACAACACTAAGTCACATACTAATTGGTGTTCTGTAAAAGCGCTCCTGCGGATAGGGGCACTGATCAACGTCTAGCATCAGATGCCTCGCTACTGTCCCCTGCTTATGATTAGTTTCGTCTGCTACTCCATCTAGGTGAAGCTCCACTTCTCTATCCGCGCCCTCGCTTGCGTTCACACAGGCATCTGCTCGCACGCACTCAAACGCCAATAAACACACACAATCATGTTCCTCTCTGATATATAGATATCATGACAACACAAAATGAGGAATCGCAAGAAATACTAACATCCCGTAGTTCGAGTCAGTTCCATCAGTGAGCATTCGCCCACTGCTGTCTGATACACCCTCCCGATACCAGTAAAGTGGATTGAGCACTTACATCGCGTCATCGAGCGGACAAACTGGACTAATGTGTACCACACCATCAGGCACATATGCGTGCGCGATTGACGTTCTACACGCTCTCGCATTTATACTACGTCGAGTTTAGCGTCCCCCGAACAGCAGGAGCGACATCAAACCCTTGAGCATCTTGCTCTTTACCATCTGGGGGCATTTCTCCACCTGGGTTCGTCAGGCCTGGGCACATGACGTTGGCACCTCCCAACAGATATGGGATCGCTCCTTTGTCGACCGTCACTCTCTTGAAGGAGAGGGTTGGATAGTGGTGCACCAATTTGAGAGCGGGCAATATGGGACCATCTCGTTGTTGGAAGAAAATGGGTTCATCAGAGGGACTGCTACCTTCTTTTTCCACTTTACGACAGTAAAGCATCAAATGAGGGCCAACCTTGAACTGTACCAGGGGTGACTTCTTTGGAATCAATTCGTCAAGGATGTCTTCCGTGATTTCAGGATGCGATTCAATTATTTGCGATTTCAAAGCTCTTTGAACTGATGCTTTGACTTGCGTAGATGTCGAAACATCAGAGGACGGGTCAAACTTCTTGAACATGGCGGTTGGTTTGTTTTGGGATCGATATTGGTGTGTGATGAGAGAGACAGAGACAGAGAAAGGGGGTCGAGATGATGCGGTCAATTGTGGCTTGGTGCATCATGGATGGTTGGATGGTTGGATCCGACCAGGTAAATTGTTGGTGGTTGGAGGGCGTTTATTCGCGCAAAGATTTAACTATCCCAGATCATTACTACGGATTCGAGAAGAATTGTCCCCGTGTCACAGAAACTTCAGTGCCATAGCACAAAAATTGGTCTCGCGTATACCTCTGTAGAAATCCTACCAGACCGATTTCAGTTTCTGTGTCATGAAAATCGTGAACTCGTGATTCAACTTGAATCCTGCACAATTCGTGCTTTTTCTCTAGTTTACTTAGAGGTCATGCCCCGATTTTTGTGTCATGAAAATGTTTGCCCATAAGCACAAAACCGGTGTTCTCATCCTGGAGTCAATTCTTTTGGAATCTGTAGTAATCCCTTTTGGTTCGTTCGAAGTTCTCATGTTCTCATGTTCTCAGATCCCAAATCCCAAAAGGCATTGGAGCTCGATTTACTTGTGCATGGTTGTTGTGCGACAACACTCAACAACACCACAACAAAAGTCTTCTGGCAGCCAGAGTACTCGTTGAGGCTAAAGGAGAAATCATCACATTCCCAACTGGCAAGCACCTATCAACTGCTTTTCAGTTGGTATATCATGAATCAATTGTTGCGCGGTCGAGTTGCGGCCACTCAAATCATCATAAGTGGTGTCTTGAGGATGCAGCTGCAAAGAGTTCCAAGATTGCCATCTCTCGTCTCTTCGCACAGTCCTGCAAAAAGAATGTGCCCCCCATTTGTGATGTTGTCCCGAAACAAGGCCGCAAAATCTTCAGCTTGGGGAAAGAGGTGTGGAGTGCTTTTTTGATAATGTTTTGTTTTGTCAGCATATCACAGTTCAGAGCTGTCCTGAGTAGCCATAACGAGCAGTTTGATTGTGGATCTCTCTCGTCGATTAGTTTTCATAGCTTTCTAATCCTCTCATAACTTTCATTCTCTCAAACTCAAAACACTCGAAAGATCTTTACACTAGCTTTTAGCGTAGTGCACAATTCCAACAGAGCTTGGTCAACTGCAGAGTCTTCAGGTTCTTCAATTTGTTGTGGCACCAATTCATGGGCATATTCCTTCTGAGATTGGACGACTGTACAACTTATCCACAGTGTTTGTGGGGAGAACTGATCTAACAGGTATGTATTCGTTGTTTCGGTTTGGTCAGCAGGTCATCTTTGGAAACCTGATTTTGTCATTCAATCTAGGTTCAGTACCAGGTGAGCTTTACGAATTGCCTGGCCTGCAGTCGCTAGCAATTCATGAGTGCCCTGGGCTGGCAACTGAATACATCCTTCAAGAAGTCATTCACAACGCAAAACAGCTTCGTTTGCTTGGCCTATCAGGCCAAAGCAGTGGGTCAGCTTTGTCAATTCCATGTAAGAATTCATGCGGGCAAGGCATGTGGAAGGGAGGTTCCAAACAAGGATTACTCACTTTCTAGACTGCTTTTGATACAGCTGAACTTGGCAAGCTGACAGAACTGGAACAGCTCTATTTGGAGGACTGGACAAATCATGGCACTATCCCGAGTGAGATTGGGCACTTGAAAAAGCTGGTAAGCGAGGTCCGAGCAATCGTATTTGACTTTGAATAGGTTTCCATGTGCAAGTACACTGATCTTGCATATACATATCAACAGACCACCCTGGACTTGAATGCGAACTCTATTTCTGGCATTTTGCCAAGCGAGGTCTTTGAACTGACTGGTGAGTTCAGAAACATGCTATCGCGTTGTATCGTACTAGCGTTGACTTCTGCCATCAGAATTCACCTTTGTTGTTTCCTCAGAGCTGACTTACCTTTATGTTGGCTCCAACAAGTTAGAAGGCAAACTACCACCTGCTCTCTTTTCCAAACTTTCCCACTTGCAGCTCATATCCATCAGTGACAACATGTTCTCGGGCACTGTTCCTACAGAAGTGGGTCAACTGTCTGATCTCAGGACGCTAGAATTTCAGAATACCAACCTTTCTGGCACCCTCCCTGCAGAAAGAATACTCATGCTGGAGAAGTTGACCAGCTTGGTAGTCACAGACACATCCTTGTCGGGCAGCATCCCTGAAGAGCTGTGTGACAGAATGTACCTGCAGGAAATGAAATGCTTCGGTCCTACACCATGTAAAGTCTTGCCAATGAATGCCAGCGCATCAGTCTGCCATGGCACTTCCCTCTGCGGGTGTGATTGTGGTCCTTGCAAACTTAACTAACTAGCTAGTTGCATAGTTGGATAGCAATAGAGAGAGCCACAACTACCGGTTGGACTCCACTGCCCACTCGACTCCTGCTGCGAACCATAGCACTGTCTTCATGATGCCAGTGTAAATATGCACAACCGACGATGCAAGCGCTGGCACCAACTTGTATGGGCGTGGCTGTATTTCAGCAAGAAGGGCGAAGAGAGCGTCAACATTATAGATAAGTGGTCAGCTATAGCTACAGTAGAGGGAAAGCAGTTGGGGATCAGACGAAGCAATCGGTACATAATAGACGAGTCGGCTCTCGCTCCAGTATTCTATCAATTCTTGCCGGAGTGTCTACGTATTCATATCATATGTGTCTACGTATTATGCAGCGCATAAAGATCAGAAATAAGGACATTTTCGTATAAGGTCCTGGAGTCGTCTTGGACCGGCGCGAGGCAGTCGACCAATACACTCTTCGTTGTCGAACCGAGCATGATCTTGGCACGTCCATGCCGGTTCGATTCATGGCACTGTAGTGATCAATGGTCAAGTCGGGAAGAGACCGAAAACACCTCGACCGTGCAAACGTGGTCAAGGTGGCATCGTTCTCGAACGCCTTGGCAGCCGAACACTCTTCTAGGGAGCATCGGAGAATCGAATCGTCAAGCAAGAGAGGCGGCGGAGCCGTTCCCGGGCATAGTACTCGGGGATATCCACCTGTCCCTGCAGTGTGATCATTAAAAACATCACTGTTGGATAGATACCTCCAACTTGGTCAGATGTGGTAAGGATTCAATGCCGCGAAACCAGCCATCGAAACATGACGGGGGACACGTTGCATTTCTGGATCGCCATGGTCTGGCACAACCCCGCCAGGATGGCTGTATTGAAGCATTAAATTAAATTGACTTCGATGATCAATGAACCATATGGCACCTTCTTAGATGGATTGTCGAATACAACGGAGCGGCTGAGAAAATCTCGTGGCGGATGAGAGTGCGAATTCGGGACCGTTTCAGTGTCAAGTGCAGTTTTTTGTTTTGGGACGTTGGAGGAGATGAATCAGGTTTCGAGATAGATTCCACATCCAGAGTAAAATCCCACTGGATTTCCAGATGAAATGTTTTGTCCACCGTCTTTGCTGGATGGAGCAAAAAGGCGAAACCCCGGCCGGGAATTCCAAGCAGGAAAGTGGATTGCCCCCGACAACCTCACCGGCATGAACCACACGGTGATTTACGGTTACTGCTGTTGCTGGATGCATATCAAGTAGTTATCGAATGGTGTCGATAAGATCTTGTTCGTTCTCATTTGATCAATAGCTACCAGGTAGGGTAGATGACCTTGTCCAACGGCAAAGTGCCCTGTGGGTCATCTTGGTAGCCAGCCGCCTTGCTTGTTTTTGGATAGCAAGAAGCATATCACATCCGAACCAACCATAACCATACCAGAGAGCTGCATGTAATGGATTCGGAAGATGGGTCTTTTCCATGCATCAGGGTACAATTCGTATAGCCCAGACAAAGAGGTGCTCTACATGTAGCGGCCCAAGGAGTGAAACAGAGGATGCCGCAGTCGTTGAAAGTCCATTATTTGTGCTTTCTTCAAGATGGGGTAGTCTTCTTCCCGCCGTTCATCCAGTGGATGGACGTAATCTGTCACTGACTCGCATCCAAACACAATCCTTTGCCAAACTGGGGTGCTTCTGAAGAGACGATCCTCGGGTGTGGAATAGGCACTCCTGGGAACGCAGAGAAAGTCCTGCAACTGCTGTCGTGCAAGTTCCATCGTGACGCTGCTGGTGTTGGCAGTGCTTACTCGGGCTTCCGCAGGATGATCCATTGGCCATTTTCGTGTTGTTGTACTCTTCATACATCATTTGGTCTCCTTCTTTCCACACAACCGTTGCTGCATGGCCAAGCTCGAAGGCTTGGGGCTTGCATGGAGCTTGGACGCAGCAAGAAAATCGAATTGTTTAGTCGAATTCTTTCGATCGAGTAATCGAATGAATGATGGTCAACAGAGCCGCCCACCGTGGAACCATCCCAGAAACTCCACGCTGCTCGTCCCGTTGGTCCATGTGCTCAACGCTACAACCAAACAACTCTCATTCTACTTTGCTGCACAGTTTGAGTTACACAGCATGTTTCTTGACAATACATTCTATTGGCTACAAACCATGATGATTACCATCTGGGGCTATCTGTGCTCGCGGATCAGAGAGAGACTACGGAGCTATGGACATTGGTGTGTCAAAGCGGATCCGTTTCTCAGATGGCGGGAACTTCCAACTGTACTTCAACAGGATGTTGAATTTGCTCGCAGCGTAGTGCATCTACTTCGTGATCCTTACCCAATAATGGCTGCTCTGCCAGAGCTCAGGAAGGATCGCCAATTGTGGGAAAACATTGTTACCCATAGGTTGCATAACCGCAGCTGGCATTGCCTTCCAAGTGAACTACGAGAGGATGTTGAATTTGCTCGCAGAGTAGTACATCTTCTAAAGGATCCTTCTCCAGCATTACAAGCACTGCGAGAGCTCAGGGAGGATCGTGAGGTGTGGGAAAACATTATCAAGAACATGTCAGGATACCGCTGGGTTACTGGCCATGAAAAGAGCAAGCTTGCAGACTTTGCACCACACCATATTCGCAAGGACAGAGAGCTTATGACAAAGGCAGGTGTGAAAAATGGCTACAGTATCCATGCATTTAGGACGTGGCATGATCTGACGGAAATCTCCCTCCTGGCAGATAACACGTTCTTTGCCAATGTTGTTCAGTGCACCATAATGTGGCACGACCCAGATGCTGAAGATCTATACCTTTCCTTATTGCTGTTTCGAGTTGCCACTGGCGCAAACAAGGCAATGATAGCAACAAATGACAAAGCTACATGGTTAATGGCGCGGGAAGTGTTGAAGGCTAGCTTTCGATATTTGGTCAAATACAAGGTTCGTCATGACTTCTGGTTTGTCCTACACCGCGATATGGCTATTGCATGGTTTGAGACAGGCTTGCCATTCAAACACAACCACCCACAAGCATTCAGAAGTCACAGAGAGTTTTTCCTCCTGATTGCAGAGCACTGTTTCTCCTTTAATGAGAAGCAGGAGTCCTTTGCCAAGTGGTGCAACAAAGAGCTCCTCCAGGACAAGGATTTTATGGTGGAAGTGATCAAAAGGGATCCACTTCTCTACATGTCCAAGTTTTTCAAACTGTCTGATGATTTTGACCTGGCTGTCCAAGTAATTTGCAGCCTTTCCATGGAGGATCATATCTCGTATTGGCAAAATAGAAGGGGATTCTTGCAACAGTTACAACATCACTTGAAAACACGGCTTGATGAACACAAGTCTTTTTGTCATGTCGCAAGTTGGGGAGAGTCCCGATTCACTCATCTGGACAAACATCTGCGGAACAAGATTGGTGAATATCTAGACCAAGCAAAAGGAGCCGAGCAATACCAATTGAGACAACGAGCACACCATCAGTTGGCAAGTTTCCTCCATCAATGTGAGATTGAAAGTAAAGAGCGAAATGGCTTGCTTGCTTATTTTATGCCCTGGCTAGCTACTAAGAAGGAAATGTGACTGAATCGAATCGAATTTTATCAGCAGAAAGCCAGATCCGATCATCTACTGACTCGCCATCACTAACACTTCAGCTTGACGAATTCGCAGTGGCAACTGGTCTGCTACTAGCTAAGTGTCAGAGTAGAGCCTTAAAATTTGAGACCCAGTTTAGCAAATTTAGCATCATGTTCCAGCTTCAAACGATTCTCCAACTCTGTGAGGTCATCGTTTGCTTTTTCGGCTGCATTGGCTTGTCGTCTAGATTGCCAACAACTCACCACAGCCAGAACAATAGCGGCGATCTCAAATGCGTCGGACCAGGACTCGTCTTCGGGCGAAACAATTTTACCTTTAGGCTTCGTTGAGATTGCTTGTTCAATCGAATCGGTATCTTGGCAACACAAATCGATGGAGATCGTGTTACTCGCACGACGAAGAGGTTTCTTCTTCCAAACCATCATCTTCTTCAAGACGCAATCGTTTCCCGCTAACCAAGGATTAAAACCCTCCAAAAGATGGATTTCGAAATGAAGCAGCATGCCGTCACACTCGGGTGTATCATATCGGCCCAGTGCTCCATCATTCATATCGTTGGATGTAAAGGAATCGATACCAGATACACGGAAAAGACAGATAAAGATTAGAAGAAGCAAAGAAGACATCGTGCTCTGTGTCGCCGCGAGGCAACGGCTGAAAAATGCTGAAAAATGACGATTAAAACTCGTTGGCCTCGCCTGGCTCAATTTTGAAGCCCGTAAAGCCCGTAGAGCTGCATTACTTTGAGGCCTGAAGAGCCTTAGAGCTGTGCTTACCTAACCTCTGCCGGTACCAGGTACCGGTATCTGGTGCGACTTACCTACCGTACGCCGTACATGACTGGTGGGGTTATGGCTTCTGCCGGTACAGTGTACGCTGTACCAGGTATCTGGTGCGACTTACCTACCGTACGGTACGCCGTACCTGTACATGACTGGTGGGGTTATGGCTTCTACTAGCTAGTACAGTTCGTTCCCATGTTCACTTTGCAAAAGAGATGAGAACAAGCAACCCAACACCCAACCTGAGCTTGTTTTGCAGCTGTTATGGTTGCGCCTTGGGTACAGTCGGCTTGAGTACTGTGATGTAATTAACTATGATAGATAACGGTAACACACAATGATTAATAGTTGTTAAAGATCTAAATGTACTATTGCCCCAAAGGCTGATTGCTTTTGTTTCACTCCTTCAACACCTGGCGCAAGGATCTGAGCAGCACCAATCGACACAGCAAGCACACCATCAGTTGGCGAGTTCCTGCATCAACGCCGCCTTCCATCCAAGGATTAGTAGCTTGAAAGTATAGAGTAAATTTACAAACAATGAGTTGCTTTTTTTGTGTGACTTATATAGCTACCGTAGCTAATGAGAATAATGTGACTGAATCGAATCAGAATGAGAAGCCAAAGGCTTCAATGTTACATCATGTGGTCCGACCTGCCACAGGAGAAAGTTGGGATCGGACAATGCGCGCCTGCTACGTGAATAGTAGGTAGCATCTGCATTCACTCGAATTCGCAGTCGCAACAACTGCGCTTCCAGACGGAGACACCAATTGATTGCGAAGTCTTTCCTCCGAGCTATGGGTTTCCGCCGGTTGCAATGCGGTTTGCCGCTTCAGCTATGGTGTTGGCTTGTTCAGCTATGGCGTTGGATCGTTCGGCTATGGTGTTGGCTTCTGTGGAACGCTCAATGGCAATACGGTTTGCCTTTATGGTGTTGGCTTCTCGGGCAAGCACATTGGCTTGTTTGGCTTCATCGGCTCGTAGTTTTGAAGACCAGGCTTGCCAAATATGCACGAGAATGAAGAAGCAACCAAGGACAAGAAAAGCGAGCTGCGTGCTATTACCGAAGAAGTCATTTTCGTTCGAGCAAGTGATTGTGGCGCCGCCGTTGCCGTGAACACAGCTGCTGCTGCATTCAGTTTCCGGTTTGTGGGTAATACCGTTAGACTCGACCTCCGAAATTGCTTGTTCCAAAGCTTGGGCGTTCGGACAACAGAACTCGACGAATGAGGCCACGATTCCTTCCTTCGTTTGAAGAGTAGCTCCAATATTCACGGTGCAATGATCGTGCTTGAATTCCGCAAAAATCATCGAATCATTGTCGATGTCAACAACGTTGTTTCCGAAACGCTGGATCAAACCGTCACACTTTGGTGTGTTTGTAGGTTTCGAAGAGCCGACGCCAAGTGCGCCAATAACTGACACGAAAAGGATGAAGATTGCGAGAAGAAGGTAGAAGAGTCCTGAACCAGACATCGTGCTGATAGTGATATTGTTTAGTGGTACTGTACTGATACTGCTGCGCGAGAGTTGATCGGCAACGGTTGGAAAATGACAAAAGCAAAGTCGATTTCCAGCGAAAAAGTGAGCCTCGTCAAGGAGAAACGGTCTCACCTGACTTTCAAGATCGAACTATTAGAGCTCAGGTTAATTAATGTTGACAAATAAATGCACAAACCTTCCACGAACTTCTTGGAAGCTTGCGGGCTCAAAGATCCAAACCTTGTCAATCCCAAATCAGAAAGATCGCGTTTTGTTTTTCAGAAGAGTATCCTTCTGCATCGTTGCTTGACTCTCATCACAAAAAGAACAGTCTGAGCTTGATGATCCTCCGAACCGTCCTTTGTTTTCTCCTATTATTATCAGTAGCATCGAGCTTGGAAACTATCGACACCAACACAATGTCAGCCTCTAAAGTTTGCGCAGTGTTCGGCTACGGTCCGGGCTTGGGAGCCGCCGTGGCTCGAAAGTGGTCCAAAGAGGGTTTCCAGGTGGCCATTATGTCGCGCAGTCTCGATAAAGTCAAGGTAACATTTTAATAGACCGGCTATTGTATTGCGGGTCGTTGGAAAATATTGTCTAATCTCTTTCGACCTTTGTCTCCATTTTTGTTTCTCTACTACTAGGCGGCCGCATCGGAGATTGCCAACTGCAAGGGCTATGCCTGTGACGTAACCAAAGAAGACGATATCAAGGCTACGGTGACGTCGATTGAAAAAGAGTTGGGTCCCATTGAGTGCATGATCTACAATGCTGGCAATGGTGTGTTCAAAAATTGGGATCAAATTCCCTTGGATACTTTTACGCAAGGATTTCAAACCAATGTCGCTGGTCTCTTGGCGGCCACACAACAAATTGCTCCCAAAATGCTCGAACGTGGCAACGGTGGGTCCATTCTCGTTACAGGAGCCACCGCGTCCTTGCGAGGAAAACCAATCACGACTGGATTTGCTCCTCACAAGGGAGCCCAGCGCCTCTTGGCACAATCCTTGGCCCGTGACTTGGGGCCCAAGGGCATTCATGTCGGATTGTTCATTATTGACGGCGGCGTCGGAACGGTCGATGGCGACGATACCAAGTTGAATCCGGATGCCGTGGCGGATACATACTGGCATGTCTCCAACCAACCCAAGAGTTGCTGGAGTTTTGAAACGGAGGTTCGGCCCTCGGTGGAGACGTGGTAATAAGACGACACCAGCTCAACAATTCACTACAATACACACAGGTCAAGGCGAGCGAGTGAGCTGAATCCTGGCAGTGATGCTTGGCAATGTGCCACCCCTGGATATGTGCCTATCCTTGTTTTAATTCCTGGTTAGAAAAGAGCGTTGTTGCAATGTTGTAAGGCCCATCCTGGGTGAGATTCGTTATCCCTGCAGCTAGCAGCCCTCAAACCCTGAAACAATACTCTCTGTAGATCTTTTCGAGTAGTAGTCAACTCGAGTCCCACCCTTGTTTATCAGGCCTCACGGATGCGGTCTCCTACCGGTATCACTCCTAATGTTACACGTGTCAGGGACATCTGGTTGTTGTACAGCTTGCAAGCAACTACATGTTTTGAACAGGCGTCTCTGCAGAATCTGATTTGACAGGAGCTGCAGAATGCAAGAGACAAGCCCGTCCACGTAGACACTAGAGCGTGCCAACCGAAGTCTCCGACACAACTACCACCACCACTTGGGTGATGTCGTACCGTACCCATCAGTGCAATTTGTCTGTATTCAAATTTATTGTAGGGGTTTCTAGCTATCGCTGTTTACAGTAGCTACGAGTTGCCCCCCGTGTCATTGCTTCTTGTACCCTTTCTCCTCCCATCATTGTTCCTTTCTGCTGTGATGGGGGGAACACTGACATCGCACTCCCCCTTGACCGCCATGGATAGCGTTTCTACGTTCCTTGCAAATGTATCGACTCTTTCCTGGACAAATCCTTCCATTACCTTGGTGTTTCTGGCCATTGTGCCAAGTCGATCTTGTAGAAAGCTTTTCAAGTTCTTGTTGGATCCTTTCCTCCTGGTTCTTGCAGCACGCGGTATTCGTGCTATTCTTCTGCTTCCCTGAGACGACGTTGTAGATTGCCTTTGTTGTTCGTTTTCTCGAGCCACAATCGCAGCTTGTATGGCGACATGCAAATCCTCCTCTTCATTTCCTCTTCGGACTCGTTTTGTCAAGTCGTATGTATCTCGATTCGACAGATCGAGTTGCTCCAAAACTTGATCTTCCATGTCTTGAAAGCATATCGAGTCGGCGGGTCGAAAACTACAGTGAGCCCGTGACGATGCCAAGGATAGGGATGATTCCAGAGACGAGGAAATCACAGAGACCAAATCCGATTGGCCATCATCAGCAGCCAGCCACAACGAGTCCAACTCGTCCTTTTGTTGTCGCTCCAAGTGCTCGACAAGCAGTGAGCCCCGCGTGGTTGCTTTTGTCGATGGCAACGTCGACGCCGTCGTTAGCAATGTCTGCTCTTCGTCGTCGTCGTCGTCCTTCTCGTTATCAACATCTTGCACTTCCTGGAGTCTTTGCCGATTCCGCAAGTGCTGTGACAGTGACATGACGCCCTTGATTGCAATGAGTTCGAGCACTATCATGCGGTTGCGGGCGGGCTTTCTTGCTAGTAGTGTAGTTCTTTGCCCTCTTTTCTGGATAGCTGTTTATTGTTGCCAATGATCAGCTATTGTTTCTGGAAACGTTGCTGGAAACGTTCCTCTACTAGAGAAACGGTGTGTGCCCATGCTCTTGCCAATCTCACACGGAACACGAAACAACAAGTCAATCTCTTTGATTTACACGGCGCAAGTGCACAGCAACAATGAGACAATGACTTCTACTACTAGCTAGTAGTAGGCGCACAACCAATTGCATACTAGCGTGCTAAAACGTTGATGGGTACTGTACAGCTTTTCAATGGCAAGCTTGCGATGACTGGTTACTGGAGTAGAAGCAGCAAGTTGTCAACCAGTGAGACTGTCTGGGCAATTCACAGGGCGGAAAAGCCGAAAAGCCACTTCAAGTCAAATAGATCTAATGGGAAAATGTGAGCGGGTGGAGCCCCCAGGTCCCGTAGGATGAGCGATTTTCTGGTACTCAGAAATCTTCTACGCGCTGCGCGCGTAGGTCTGGTACAATCTTCTGACACCCAGAAAAAACAACGGCCGAGGGTCACCCATTTCGAGAGCCTCAACAACAGAGCAATCAACATGCCATGACAGTGAAGATGGTAACAGTTTGCTATTAGCATGATACCCTGGAGGTGCCTACTACCCAGAGCGGCCTTCTATACCCACTTACTGACAAACGCCCTGAAAAATATTCAATATGTTTGCGGAGGAAAGATGAGATACAAGCAGTTGAAGCAGCAGAATGAGGTTTGCGGCACTTACAAGAAATGAGGAATTCCTGCTGTTGTGGATGCCACCTTTGCTCCTTGCCATAAGAGATTGGGTCAATAATTCCTTTTGGTATCAACAGAGGGATCCCTCAGTCCTTGAGGTTGTCGAATGCAGCAGAAGACAGTTTCTCAAACCCCTTTTGGGTAGCCTCGAGAGCCATCTTTCGCGACGGCTCATCCCATTCTTCGTCGGAACTCTTCTTCTTGATCCTTTCTTGCTCGAGAGACTTCAGCAAGTTCTTCCTTTGGGTATAATTCCATTTGGCGATGTCCTGTGGCACATCTGTTCCAAGTCGATGGAGCAGTTCGGTGAGTACATCAGCAGTGTGTTCTTTGGCAATCATGCGAGAATACTGGATGAGGCCCTGCATCTGGACAGTTCTGTCGACACCGGTGTTCCTTTGTCTCTCATTCTCCTTTCTGTTTGTGCCACTGTTCTGGAGCACATTGTCACATAGAAGACCAACCCTTTCCTTCCTGAAGTGTTCTTTTTTCATGACAAGTTCCAAATTCGCGATGATGTTCTTGTATTCCAGGGGCGGAAGAGTTTCTTGTGTAACTCGGGCACAGGAGTGGTCTTCTCCACTCTTGAGAAGCTTCCGGATCCTTTCATTTGCTGCCATAGTTCCCAGTTTACCAATTGAATAGACATTGGCATCGATGTTGATTGCATATGCACTTCGAAGCTGCTCAGATCTGTCAGTAGATGAGACATTCTTGGCCAACTTGACGCCTGCTTCCACAAAGTGTGTGTGAGATGCAAGGGGTAGATAAGAGGTTAGCAGATACTGTTTGAATGCATTGCCCATGTTCTCTTCGTCCCTGTAGTCAAGGCCACTTAAGCACAATTCTGCTGCATGTATTGCCAATGGATGGTACACTGGTTGCAGATACGTAATGGCCTTGCTCTTTTTGTCTTTCGTGAAGTTAGCAGTAGACACCTCTTTTGTTAGCTACAAAGGCGAAGAACTGTTGCAAGTCGAAGGTTCTGTCATGGACGTCTGACTGAAACTGTGGCGCATGGAAAGTAGGGGTACCTGGTCTCTTCAACAAGACATGGGCAATGATGTTGGCCAGTGGTTCCTCTGAAAGTAAAGCGGCAGGAAGCAAGTTTTGGGAACATGTTCTGTTGAAGTGTTTCTTTGCCATCTTCAATCCGGCGGCAAGAAACTTGTCTGCCTTCTTTGTCTGGTGTTCCTTGTCTTGTGTAGACAGAGTACTCAAAGAGGATCTGAAAGCATTGAACGTAGTGCATGTGCTTGACCACTTCTGTTGCATTGATTCCAAATCATGAACAATGAGATAATACCGTGCCACCATGCTGTGAGTTTGGAAACCACACACATGCGACAAGTCAGTGCAGGATTGCATCCAATCGAAGTGAGGACAGAGGTAGCCAGTATGGTATTCGACCACAAGACACAGGTCTGAGTACAACATCTTCTCACAGAGCAAAGGTTGGAGGCCGCTTGCCGCCTTGCCCGCCTTGTCACTCCCTTGCACGTTCACCATACATTGACACAGCCGTACCAGAAGAAGGTAAACTGCAAGAACCATTCTTCCACAGTCACCGACTGACCACCATCTTGTAAGAACCGGTGCTTGTATCTTGAGCCGTAGGACGTTCTTGGTTTCCTCATCCAGTGGCTGAAAGTTTCGAAACGTCTTGACTTCCTCCCACTTCCTTGCGAAGGATTGATCTGCTTCTGTCTCGTCTACGTAAGTTGTGGTAAGGTACGTCTCATAGAAGAGAATGGCTTCGTCGACATAGGCCTTCCACACTGCCGTCTCCAAGTAATCTTGTAAATCAGACACTGAATGAAGTAGCTGCATCATATTTCGTGTGTCCAATTTACCTTCCCCTAAGTAGCTCTTGACACCGTTGGCCATGGTGAGCTGGAGGTTGTGCAGAGAACATGATGCAATCCAGTAAGGCTGATGGCAGACATTGCGGTTTTGAAGTGAAGCACCCAATCCGTCCAACACACCACCTCCTCCACTGTCAGTTGTTTGACCTTTGAGCTTTGGCAACCCAACTTTCTTCAACGACGCAACTATTGCATCAGCACATGGATCGGTTGTTCCTTCACTTGCATCAACATCGAGTAGCCTTTTCACCACTCGCATCTTCTCGACATCATAGTAATGCACAAACTTCACAAAATGACCGACACCTTTCTTGTTTCCTTTGTCACAGGAAAGAAAGACAGTCTTTCCCTTCAATGTATTCCCTAGCTGATGGACGTTCTCTGCAGCCAGGCGGAACAACATGTCGCGAAGAGTGGTTTCCGATGGAAAAGAACTCGAAAAGGTTTCAAGATTGGCCTTCTCCAAAATTCCGAAGTCAACCAGGAAAGAAGCAACAATCAAAGGAATAATAATTGCCGCCTGTGTCAATGGCAATGCTGGACAACTTGCAAGTGTAACGGCAATCAGCGATCTCATAAGAGTGGATCCACCTTGGAACAACTGGTATGTAAAGCCTTTTTGTAGACATTTCATCTGGCCTTCCACGTTCCGGAGTCTCTCCAATTGACACTTGGGAATGACTGTGTGGGTATGAGGAACCTCTTCGATGGAGAAGGGACTTCCTTGGCTGGTAATGTCGATAGATCCAACCAGGATTTCTTCCTTTGCTTTCTTCCTTTTTCGATTGTCCAAAAGAGGATCACCATTTTCCGGTGTCAAAGTTTCTGTTGTCAGAGTTTCCGGTGTTTCCTTTTCCAGCGCCTTCTTGGTTGCATCATGGGAGGTTGGTGTTTGGCTAATGCGGTCGTGATTACCATTCAAATAGAAGTGAGTCTTCAAATAGATATCAAGCTTCTTATACCAATCCGCCGTCATGTTGAATTTTTCAGGCACGTAGTTCTCATCAGGAAGACTGTGTTTCCAAGGCTGTCTACAGGCGAACTTCTCCCCTGTGTGCGTGGTGCTGCGAGTACCTTCCTTCTTAGTCCATGGTAGGGAGTCAATGTAGAACACACAACCACTGCAACAATATTCCCTCTCCAAGGGCCATTCAGTGCAGTAAACAATTCGACGGATGGATTTGGTGGGATACATCTTTTGGATGGGAACGTCCGCATCACTACCATGGCGTTTGCGATTGCTCCGCCTGGTGGCGGCGGCGCCGCAACCACTAGAAGCCAAAACAGAGGCCATGGCCGAAACAGTTCGATAGTGCTACTGCTGTTAACCATCGTTCCTCTATCTACACTCCTTCTTTTGACATTACAGAAAGCGCCATCGCTCCTATACCCACACGATCCGTTGGTTGCAACAACCGATGTGTTTCGATACTCAAGAAAATGTGAGCGTTTTCTTCTCATGATGTCATGCTGCGACATCCATAAGTCTTCGTAGAAAGTAGCACATTTACCCTAAGTTTTAGAGTTCGGGTTCCACGGTGAATGTTCCGAAATGTCTCTGCTGGAGATGAAGCCTAGCACCTCCAAAAAATGTTATCCCGACACGGCAAGGGCAGGGTCAGCATCAACATACTTATATGCAGCTCAACCCACCCTTGCCATGTTGGTGGCAGATGTTTTGAAAATGTTACTATCATGCTTACTAGCCGTTTGTGTTCGGGCCAAAATCGTTGCGAAAAATTTAGCGAGCGGGCCGTCCTCGATTGCTGGCTGCGTTGAGTCCTGGGGGTCATAGAGTCCTCTGAACTCAAGATTTTGTGACATATGGCCGGGTTAATTCCTTATTATTGCCGTCAGTACCGTGCGTTTCTCAAAGCAGGTGTTCCTTCCAACCAACAACATGTCCCCAACCCGTCGTCGCAGAAGATTCAAAAGACGAGACATGCAATGAGAAAGAGAGGAATAGGTGGATTGGGCAATCAGTTGTGGGATGAACAAACTATTGAAGACACAAGTCGAGGCCTGGAAGGGGCAGCGGAAGTTTCCAGAGCGACAACAGGCATCTCCATGAAGTCTCGCTTGGTGGTGCTGGTTGTGCTGGTGGTACTGGTGGTACTGCTAGGGCTCCCCAACTTTGTCATAATGGCGAGAGCTTCACCAACAGCAGCCAATCACTCGTCGTTCGACTCATTATCAGCAGAATCCCTTATGGGTTCCAATCAATCTATGAACAGTTCGTGTCAAGACTATCCTGCTGCCTACTTTGAAGAGCTTCTGGCGTCGATTCGATCCGCGAATGAATCCACAATTAGTAGTGATAGCCGCAGTCCATCGCCACTGTGCGTGACAGATGTAGTTCCACTCGACAAATGTCGGTGCTTGAATCCCTTTATACCAACACCTCAAGATCCCAGCAAGGTTCGAACGTGGCGTGATATATCCAAAATGAACAGCAACCTCATTCAGAACAACTACACATCGAGACACATCCAACCTGATTTTGTCATTTATGGGGATTCCATCACGGAGCGTCTATTGGGACGATTCTTTGGCAACTATGGACCCAAAATGATAGACTATGCTCACATGACGTTTCAACACATGACCAAGGATGGAGGAGCTCACATCAATGGGCTTCCTCTGGGAATTAGTTCGGATGAGGTGAGTGTGTGCTTTAGACAACGACGCATCGAAAGTTTGGTTTCATCTCGACCACTCACTCACGTGGCTGCATTTCATTTCATTTCATTTCTACTGTACTTAGATTTCACACCTCTTGTATCGTCTCCAGAACGGTGAACTGCCATTCGACCTACAACCTCATTCTGCTTGGTGGATCTTGGTTGGTACCAATGATCTAAAAGCTGGATGTTCCGTGGAAAGTATTGTTGCGGGGAATATCCGCATTGTCCAAGAACTTCAACGACATGCCGAAAAACGCGTCACAAAAGCGGCCGTACATGTGCCGATCGTGATCAACTCGATACTACCCAGAGGTCGTCAACCATTGTTACTTTCTCGCAATTCCATGTGGCGAATGATACATGACATCAATCAGCAATTGGAGTGTTATGCCTCCATCACTCCACACATATTCTTTGCCAATGTCACTGGCATGTTTGTACAAATGCAAAGCGGCGGAAATCAGCCAATGGTCCATCCGGAAATGTTCATCAAAGACAATCTGCATCCATCCGTGGAAGGTTCGCGCATGTGGGAAGACTACATGGTGGCACAAGTCCTGTCGATGGCTGGATCCAGGTAGCGGCTGATGTTTCCATCCTTGTGTATCATACTACTCTGCCCACGGCGACCAGTGAATCATCTCAGAGCATTCCCGGGCATCATCATTGGAAACCCTTGAGATGAACCAACCAATCCCTGTGTTCTGATGAACGCATCAAAGAATTAATACCCTTCAACCGGAAAAGTATGCTTACTTTCTTTCCTGAATGGAGGATGGGAAGGGGATGGTGCCTCTTAATATTCGCGATGAGCACGGGTTCCAGGTACCGGTACTGTACTGCAGCCAGAGCCAACACGAGAGGCGCATTTGTGAAGTTTAAGCTGAAGAGGAGAGGAGAGGTTGAGAAGTTACAGGGGACTGTGATGCAGGTTTTAAAGATTATTTCGACAACCTGGTGATTGCTTTAGGGCTTTCGACTCCAAGAGCGGAAGCCTCTGCCATGTTGTCCAAGATCATGCACGCAGAGGATGCCCATCCCTCGGATTATCTATTCTTTGCTTTCTCTGGCGAAGGAAGCTTCTTCTTGGCTAGGGAATCAAGATGTGGAGCCGCGCTGATCCATCCTGATGTTCTTGTGTCGTAAGCTGCCACGCTGAAGCTTCAGAAGAGTTGATGTCGCTGGCTTTCTGGTTGGCGTGGCATCATTTGGGGATATCTACTGCGAAGCAAACGAATTACCGGACGGGTTTGCCAGGGTGTCTGCCTTTGCCGACTGGATCCAAGCAAACGGTTGCGAGGTGTCTCAGCCCCCCCTCCCCACGCAGAGTGCCCACCTACCCCAAGCCCTGATCTCAACACTGTCAACGAATTCATCTTGGTGGTGGCTGGTTGGCATCAGTATCTTGATCACGATGGTGAAGAGGTGGCGGTAGTAGAGAGGAGTGGCAGTGCGACGGCAACAGTTCGACAGGAAGGCATGCCCTCATCAAATTCCACTTCGATTGGGATTCCCATGAAATGACGTTCGCTATCCGGAACCGAGCTGATTCGGAAATTTGCCAGACCAACCAAAAGCAATTCTTCCGTTGGCTAAGGGAGCGACAAAATTTGAGGGGCTTCATGACAGAGATCTTGCTAAGGAAGGCATGTATCAAGGTCTTGAATACTTGGCAAAGAGGAGAGGGATCGAGCCCTTGACAAGAAAGAAGTCCCTGTGTTGGGGATCTCAGCGCCGAGCGAGTCCGGCAAAACTGAGTTTCTTCGTTGGGTTTTCAATGAATGCTGTACTGTCAATCCTGATGCAGGCGAGACAGCGCAAGAGATTCTTCGACGAATCAATGTTGCTTCACCTGACAACGCTCCAAATCTTAGCCGCCTCCTTGTCCTCTTTGCGTCATTCAATCAACAGTCGACCTACTCGATTGGCGAAGGACCAATTGGAGTTACTACGATTGAAAGGCTTGTAAGGTCTTATGAAGATAGACTGGACATGCAACGTTTTGATGCCGCTACGTCTGTGTTACGGAGTTGGAACAATCTAGTTGAGATGTTTTCGAAAGAAGGCGAAACAACTGGGTTTGTTGTATGCATCGATGAGCTCTCGAAGCTTCGTCAACTCAATCCAGACGAATACCCAAAACTTATGGATGGACTACTGTCATTTTCTCAATACACAATTGCCAACGGCGGCTACTTTGCCTTTGTGGGAAGTTCGTTGTACATCTATGATTTTGGAGAAGTGGTGCTCCAAAGATCTGGAAGAGCGATACGACAAATCAAGTTTCCGTCAAATCCAGACACGATGGAGAACAAAACAAGAGCATTTGTCATTGCATCGCAGGTTTTTGCCGGTGCAGTGGCCAGGGTGGACGAAGAACACTTCTTTCTCAAAGTGGCACTTCAGGTTGCCCGGAGCAGCCCGCACATGTCCTATTGGTTGACAGCGGCAGAAAGTCAAACAAAGGTCTCGATTCCTCAGAAGAATACCAGACGGTATTGATGCGGATAACGTGTTTCTTTTGGCGGCTCGGACGGCGCTTAAACAACAAATGCAGGAACAAGTGAATCGAGACAAGTTGGATGCAGTTTTGGACAAGCTGCATGGCAGTGCAGAACTGCATGATGCGCACAGCGACGGTGTCCATCTTCGTTGGCCCAATATATCTGTCACTCTGTCACTGCCTCCATGGAGGCTACTACAATTCATGTTTCCGCAGAACAACCAAGTGTTTTCTTATGTCCAAAATTGGGTGCTCGTAGAGCTTTACCGGCTATTTTACTCTGACGGACCCAGCGAGGCTGTGAAAACTTGGGAGCTAGCAACAATGGGTGTACTTGAATTGCGCAAGGCGATGTTGCACGCTGTTCGAGGCCGAACCCCGAGTCTACGTGACGTTGTTGATGGAAAAGTTAAAGGAGAAGTTGGCACCTTCTTGAAGGTGAGTGATGATATCCTTGACATGACTGTCACAGAGAAGACATCCGCCAATTCATTTCAAGACCTACCCTCGGGTCAGACCCATGCGAGCTGTCATGCTTCCACTACGCAAAGAAGTCCAATGAAGAAGGAGTCGAAGGTGTGTTTCACAACGGCTTCGGAGACCTTGCAATATTTTTTCAGATGAAGCTTTATCACAACGCAACTCCGAAGGAGATCAAAGATTGGCTCGAGAAGGCCCACACCCGTGCCCAAGCATTAGGGTACAAAGAAGGGACCTACATTGTGCAGCTTTTTGTGACAGGTACAATCAATGCCAATGTCCCGAAGTACCAAAACAACTGGCCGCAGAACAGCATGGTGTTTGCCGACAACGCGATTCAGCATCTCTTCAAGCCGTTTGGCGAAGGTTTGTTCGTGGAAATGGCGAGAAGACGTCGGCGTGAGAATTGAGCTCGCAAGTGAGCTTGAGAACTTTCAGGCCGCCGAAAGGCACGACGATAACGCTCGAAATAGGATCCAGTGACAAGCTGGAAGAACTGCTTGCATGATTGGAGTGAAGACTATAAGAATGGACTACAAGAATGAGCCACAGGCTGTGACAAAAACGAGTTTATCGAGGCAATAGGAGCGACTGTTTTGTGTGTGTGTAGGGGAGGGTGTCCAGGAGCCCAAATTGTGAGTTAGTACTTCTTATGCTATGCAGTAGTATGTATTCATGAAGGGGTGTCAGAACCCTCTAGCTAGGCCAACCCAATCCTCAGCCAGCCCATAGGCTAGTTCTCAACAGATAAGAGCGCTATTTTTGACCTTCAAGGATTCGAAAGTGGAGTCAGGAGATTCATGGGAAGCCCTTTTTTGATTGTGCTGCTTGTCCGATGCCTGACGAGGAAATTTGACCATGCGATTTTGCCCCTGGTGGGCTTGTCTAATGGGACAAGAATCTGTTACAACAAGCCTTATTCTGGCGAACACTTCTTTTGCGAGGATGTTTATCAGTAGTATTCCAGAGTATGGAAAGTCAACGATATGGTTGTATTGGCCGGGTCATGGTTAGTTGCAGCGCTATGACATTGTTGTCGCAGCGTGGGACGCTACGGGTGATCGATCTCTGTTTGGATATCAGTGCAAGGAGGGAAGCACGGCTAACAACAACGCCAACCCATCCCCGAACGGCTATTTTAAAATAAATACCATGATGATGTGTGACTGACTGGGACTCAAGTCATTCGCTGCCTTTCTTTCGCTGCGACTCGTTCTTTCGTCTGACTTCTGATATCCAGAAAGAAACACAGGAGATACCCAAGACAACAACTGACGAATATCGCAGTGTTACGATTCAATTCAAGGCGAAAGAGCTCTGAAATTTTGACATTGGCTATGGGATTCGTGGCATGGATTTGGGTAGTCTTGATTTATCATCGAGACTGGAATGGTTTCATCTAGCTACTGCGGCTAGAGGAGCAAAATTTGCCGCTGAGGGGGTGCGATGGCCTTTTCGCACGATCGCATAGGGATGTCAGCTCCAGATTGACGATTGATAGTCATCTCGGCTCACAATCTTTCGAAAAAGAGAAGCTGAGCGATCCAAACTATTATCAAGAGGAAACAAGAAGATGAAGTTCGTTGCTGCCATTTTGAACACCCTGGTCGTTGCCGTGATTGTTTCGGTCCATGGGGCCAGCGCCGTGAAGCTCCGAGGTGCCATGGAAGCGTTGACTCGCAAGTTGCAGGACAATGGAGCCGATGTTGGATGTATCACTATTACCGGCATTGATGGAACTGTCAGGACTCCTCAACCCTGCAACACCGCGGCTCCTGTTAGCCCCGGAACCGGAGGAGACTCCTCTTCTTCCGACAGTGAAGACTAGATCTAGATTGACGAGGAGAGGAGAAGACATCTACGAGACTTGATGTGAGGTTGAGTCGATGCAAAGGACTTATCGTGAAATCAAGATGGAACGTGAAAGAGGCAAAGGAAGTTGTTGAAGGCTCCACCACAAAGATAGAGAACAAACTATAGTACCGGTACAGTTGAATACATAAACACTTGCATCTTTGGGCTCTCGCAGCTTGATGTAGTAACTTTTGAACTGATTTAACACAAGAATTGTAGCTCCGCACAACGCTATTTGCATGCTCTTCACGTGCTAGGACAACACAACGTTGTACCCCTTCGCGCAATTGGGAGGTTCTTGTCGAAACAGGTCTTCCAACCACAAAAGGAAACAACTGCACGCATCCGGAAGCTCTGGAGCAGGATTAGAGTGGCATTCTGATTAAGTGTAATTATAGCTGCGGTGTTCCCTCGATATCTCCGCAACGAACGTTGTCCAATAATATAACGCTAGCTCAAATGGAACCTATGAAGAGAACAACGGCAACCACGGAAAGAGCCCAATAGAGCGGTGGCCTACCATGCGCATAGGAATCTTCGTTTCCAACAGGCGCATAGGAATCTTCGTTTCCAACAGCATCACCTCCGCTGTCTGAGCACGGTACCACAGGTTGATCGCCTTGGCCTCCATGAAGCGAAGGCTGGCCGAGCTTGGCTTGGTCTTGTGCCATCGTTTGACCATTTCTGGTCACTACCATTTGAATCAAGGGATTTGCATCCTCGATTCCAGGCTGTCCTGAACCACAAGCGAGAAGATTGGAAAGGACCGTTCGACAGTCTTGAGTATCATACTTGCACAGCTCCTTGATGTGAAGTGTCATGACTTCTGTGTACGCTTCCTCAAAGAGCTCTTCAAGGGGAACTGCAACACATGCCTCGCAGTAGGCAGTGCAAACTTCGTTGATAACCGTATCGCCCCAGTCGCTTTTGTACAGACCACCACATCCTTCGCTCTCTGGTGCATTGACGAAGGTCTCGCAATCACATAGCCCACCAAAAGTGCATGAAGGGCTGTCTGCAAGTGTGTCCGCACAATCAGACTGAAGCTTCCTTCCTGCATCCCTTGAGTTCACGGCATCTGACACAGTGCAGCCACAGTACTTGGCGCAGACTGATCTGACCTCAACATCTCCCATTACACTGGAAAAAAACCCGTCACAGCCAGTGCTTTCGGGTGCATTGACGAATTCTTCACAGGTGCAGAGTTGACCAAAGGTGCATGATGGCGAATCCGCTAGAGTATCCACACAATCCTCATCGTTCGCATCAGCGGGCTCTGACTCAGTATCCACGGCGTCACCCCAAGTAACCCATCCCCCCTCTTGCGAGACCATCGTACTTTCGTCACTTTGAAATGGCTCCATGTCGATGATGGGCAAAAGGTTCACATCACACCTTTCCGGCTGGCAAAGAGGCACCGTTAGATCGACCTCATCCGCTGTGACCCCATGAGCCCCCGCTACAAACACGAACAAATATCCCATCACACCACTGTGCATGTGCGTAGCATTGTACTCTGTAACAAATCGGACTCTTCGATTGGCAGGGATCACATTAGGAGGGTCATGGTTGTCTACCGATACTGCCGTGACAAAGCCATTGTTTGTTTCTGGATTGGTTCCGTAGGTGGGATCGCTAGTGCAAAACCGTTCCCCTGTCTCAGCATCCTCCAGGAATTGAGTCACCGCAGCCACATGGACGTGGGCCACGCATCGAAGAATCGCGACTTCGTCTGGACAATTGTAAGGACCGGCGAAGAATCTGACTTGGAACATTTCGTTGAACGGAGCAACGCGTTCCAAACGCTTTTGCAAACAGGGAATGAAGCGAATTTGAGGGGGCACGACACTTCGTTGATTCAAGCAGGCATCATCATCTATCTGTACTCACTTGAATGTAGCCTTCCGCTTGATGCTCTGGCGTCAAGAGATTGAAGCTGGGCACATCGTACTCCAGCTGCATGTCAACAGCCGGTGCGATGTCTGCAACCAGTAGATCCACATCGACGACGGGTTCGTCGCTTTCTTCTTCTGCCAGCTCTCTGTAGGTCACGTTGTACCGCATCCGATAGTCCAGAGTCGGCCCTGTGAGATCCGTGCAATTGGAACAGCAACTGACACCACCAGTGACATTGCCAGTGCCAGTCAGGGTATCCAAGTACGTCTGCCCAGATTGCGGGGGACAGCGGCATTCAATGCAGGACAACCAATCATCGACTTCTCTCAAATCAATCAAATGAAAAATGGTCCCACCACCGTCGTTGCCCGTGAACCGAGCATAGGGTTCTGGGAAGGGAGCATCGGGTGCCGCTTGGCCCATGCTTTCCGCTCCCTGCGCAAAGACGACGCGACCGGCAAGGTGGTGGATGTACAACTGGTTGGTCGGCACAGGAGTGACACCTTCCCCGTTGGGGTCATCCACCACGAAATCAAAAATAAATGCGTTGTCCCAATGCCACACGATGATCCATGGGGAAGGGATAGTTGAGGACAAAGAGTCGATTGATGACACCTCCCGGAGTGAGCGTAGCAGGCCCCGAAAGGCACGTCCTCGTGTAAGTTCCTGGCGATCCTTCCACAGGCACGGGATCTTCACAGCTTGATCGAAGAGAACCCATTTGGGCAATTCCGAGGTCACTGACGGCAGCGCCCGCCTCCTGAATCTCGGTACAGTCTTGGGTGGAAGCTCCAAGCACAAACTTGGAAGCAGGAGTGGGACGTTCTCCATCCTTGATGCCAGGTTTGGCTCCACGGTTACCTGTAACTTCTGCGTCCCACTGGCACAGTGATCCCCAATCTGACAGGCAAAGAAGAAAGTGGTCTGCGATCCCAGCTGGTTGGAATACACATCCTCAATGGTGAATCGGAAGGGCGTCTGTCCCACTTCGGACAACAGCGTCGCATCGGAAAAGTTGCAAGCCATGAAGTGTTCCTTGGAAGCCATTTGGTAGACATTATGGGCCCCGTAGCGGAATTCCAAAGTGTCTCCTGGTAGGACCCCTTCGACGATGGGCTGATAACAGACTCCGTCGGTCCAGCCGACCGTGGTGGGAGTGGCATCCGGATCGTTTCCAATCACAATGGTAACAGGATGCGTGTTGAACGTGGAAAAGGCATCACCCTGAGCATGTACGCGGTCGTGAAGGAGGAGAAAAGACAACAAGGAGCCAAGAACTGTGGAGCGCAGACTCCGATGCCCAAAGACACACATCATGGATTCGATTCAGCTGCAACAAACGTTGGCGAGGAAACAAAAGCAGATCTTGAGAACTTCTTCACCAACAGAGTCTGATGGCGAGGAGACGGAAATGTGAGATGTAGTTCATGATCACATCTCGGAGCTCGATGCCCGAAGCCGCGAACATCACAAACGAACGAACGAATCAAGGATTCTCGGAAAGCACCTGACGCCTGAACTAACTCCTGTGTTCCTTGACACCTAGTACTGGTAGCTTGCACTGACTGATGCGCGGATGACTGCCCTTCAGTGTACTAGTACGTTCCATGACCGGACTGTACCGGTACAGAGTAGTCCTCCGAAACATGAAAAGACAGCCTACTAGTTGATTAAATCAAAAGTTGACCTGAAGTATACGATGTAGTAATAGTTGTAGTAATCGTGCCAATCCGGACACAGGTAACCTGGTACGGTCGTACCGTACCGTACCGATGTACCCGTACCTACCGCAGGATCCTTCAGACGTGCCTCCGGTATCTTTTGCCTCCATGTCAGCCATTCATTTTTTGAGTTTTTTGTACGTAAGGCGATCCTTGACTTTGATTTTTAAGTTTGATAGAAAATCACAGAATGGAAGTCAAGTCAACCATGGCAGCACCAGCAACAACAACAACAGAACCAACCAACATCAGTGGTGGTGGCAATCCCCTGCCACTCGAAGCTAGTTGCGAGGAGTTGCTCGAGTGCCAGTTCAGTTCCTGGTTTCCCACCTTTCGCCATTTGGACCGGAGTGATTGTGACGACCGCCGCAGCAACGTGACGATCAAGTCCCAACTTGTGTCGCCACTTCCTGCCGATTTTTCCGACTTTTTGCTTGCCGATGGAATTCGTTTGCCTGAGGGAGCTACCAGACTGTCTTCCTGTGCTCCCAATGAACAGGAACAACAGCCTGACGACAGCAGTTGTGACGATCAGCAGTCCAACGATTCAGAACAAAAACAATTTTCCTTTCCGCAACTCAACCAACAAATCGAAGAGGCCATAGAAGCATTAGGAGGATCGGTGGTGCCCAAGTTGAATTGGTCGGCGCCCAAAGATGCCACATGGGTCAACGAAGGAACGCTGAAATGCAAGACTCCAGGAGATGTCTATTTATTGCTCAAAAGCAGTGATTTCTGTCTCCATGACTGGCAAGTCTTTCAAGAAAACATTTACTAACGGAACAACAAGAAACAAAAAAAGTCAGCCTCGACTGGAACTGGTGCTTCGAAAATGGTGCAATTTCTATCCCAGTATGGAATTTCGATGTTTTGTCAGAAATCACAACTTGAGTGAGTCGATGATGCCACAGTTTTCCCCTCCAGATCCGCAGCTGATTCGACATCTGCTGCGTCATTTCTATCTGTCTTACATGGTCGCATTGCGTTGCACTCTGTGTTTCAATTTTTTTATTGTTTATAGTCGGCATATCCCAACGAAATCACAGTCAGCATTATCCGCATTTACTACACGACAAGGAAAAACTACACTCGTTCCTTGTCGAATTCTTTGAGGATGTCGTTTGCCCACCGGTTTGCCAACAATCAACGTGCCAATTATGTTTTTGACGTTTACGTCGACAAAAGTGATCGAGTGTGGCTAGTGGATTTCAACGTATGGAGCATCCAAACCGAGGCCTTGCTCTTTTCATGGGAAGAATTGATCGATTTGCCAGTGCCACTATTACTAGTAGACGACGACTCCTTTCCGGAACTGCGTGTGGTCGAAACAGCCTTGGAAGTGCGCCACGATCCCTTGTCCTCTTATCGGGCTCCCATGGATACCGTCACTTTGGCGTCAACGTCCAATACAATTGGGTGCAGTGGCGGTGCGGGCCCCAACTCGTTTGAATCCTTCATGGCCATGTGCCAAAAACCATCCGAGCGAACGGATTGTGACGATAGTACTAGTAGTGATGAAGAATGAGAAAGACAGGGCCTGACTGCACTGACTTCGCTATTCTAGCTAAGGCAACCAACTAGTAGCGCTAGAATCATTGATCGAATCATTCTAGATAGCTACGGTACCACTTATCAGAAGGAGGTGGACGATTCTATAACCGTAACTACAATACCAGCAGTCTCTCTAGCTGCTTATGGGAGTTGTCTCGGGCTTTTTACAACATCTTGTGTAGAATTACGATATAAGCACTAGCATATATAACCTAGCTAGTCCATCACTGCTCCTGTTCGTCATTGCCGTCCTCCTCCCCGACTTCTTCTATTTCATTGTTGTTGTCGCCGTTCTCCTGCGCCTTGCCAGCCGGTCGATACAAGACATCGGTCCGCACCACGTACTTGGTTCCCTTGGTAACCTGCGATCCTTCGTGAATCAACGACGCCAGGTTGCCTTGTGGAAAGACGACCACCGATCCTGCTCGTGGCACAATCCCACGGGCAACGCCTTGAGGCAAGTAATACCTCGTCTCTCCGCCTTCAAAGTCATCATTGAGGTAAATCAAAAAGGTCAGATAAGACTTGATGGCATCTGAATATTGTTGCTTCTGCTGTTTGGGGCAATGGTATTTTCCCTCTTCATCCAAATAACACAAGGGCCAACTGCCATCCAAATGAGGTCGATAGACACAATCTTGTCCATATCGGAAACAACGCCATCGCGGGTTGATGCCAAACAATTGTACTGTCTTGTTGTGGGCGGTCAGTGTAGCGGGCAAATGCGGTTGGACACGTTCCCAAATCACATTGAGAATGGATTCCGAGTCGACCATCAATTCACAACTATCAATCCCCGTGGGGTGGGCCTGTGAGACGGGATGATCAGATCGATAGCCCAGGGTAGTCGTGACACGACGCAATTGTTGACATTCGTCCCTTGTCAAGACATTGGGCAAAACGCGTGCGGGTTGTGGCAAAAATGGAATAGGATGCGACTGGGTAGTGGGATGGTTGTCACTCCAGGTAATCAAATTGTTGTCGGGTTTGGTAAGGGCATGCAAGAGGAGGTCATAGTGATTAGGAGGTGTTCGTTCGGCTGCGGCTTCTCGATAGACTATGCGAGATTTGAGATTGTCCAAGGAAGTATTGTCGTCTGCTGTAGCCTCCTTCTTGGAATCTTTTTCCTTCTCTTCTTTGTTGGTAGTCTTCTCATCTGCTTCCTTTTCTTTCTCGTCTTCTTTTTCATCTTTTTTGACTGCATCCATTTTCTCCTTGCTGGTATCATGATTCTGGCTGTTGCTGTTGCTATCATTATCCCACCACTTCCATCCTTCCAGAATGACCAGTTTGTCTTTACTTTCTGGTTGATTGGCCAAATGAGCCGCCAATGCCTGTCCGGGATCATGCTTGTTGCCATCACCGGCTCCCGCTCCTGCGGCGGCACTCAATCGCAAAATGGCTTGCAAGAGTGGCATCTGCCCCTCCTCCTCCAAGGCACTGCAATCACGGACCCATCGTTGGACAGTTCCCTGTTTGGGATATTGCTGAAAATCACGACACGCTTGAAGTGCTGCCAAGGCATCAGACCATTGGTGGTGTTGCAACGCGTGCGTCACCTTCTGTCGATAGTCCACGCCCTTGTCGTAACTCTGCAATTGTTCCAACACCAACGGATGCAACGTCCGTCGCAAGTCTTTGAATCGTTTGCTGTGAAATATCATCGAGTTGGAGGAAGAGGACACCAACGTTTCCAACGTTCGAATGGTAGTGGCCAAGTCTGCATCGGAAATTTCTTCACTAGTAGTAGTGCCTGTGGTTGTGGCAACGTGGCTCGTTATCACTGGTTTGACAGACTCTACTCCTTGGTTTCGAGCTTTCACGGCATGAAACAACGCATGGTTCGTCCTCTTGCGTTTGTTCTTGCCCATCTTGCTTTTGCTTCTCCCACAACAAGTAGTCCTGACAATGAATGAATGGACGACAAAGACACAAGGTTCAAAATATCAGAGCCGAAATAATGAGTGGACGCCAACGACGAGGGCCTGTCAATTGGGATCAAAACAAATCATTCGAATCGAATCAGAATCGAATGATTCGATTCGATTCGATTCACTCTCAGTCGCGTTTCTCACTCAAGCCTTTTTCTTTTTTGTTGCCAGTTCCCTCCTCCTTCGCCATCGCTGATGAGAGATTGATAGATTGAACGATTGAAGTAAGATGGACAACCACGAGCCTTACCACGACGACGCTGACGACGACGAGGATGAGAATGGAGACTTTCCGTCTTCGTTTTCGGCAGGCGGTCGTATGCAACCCATGTCCGTGGCGGCGGGTGGTGACTTTGATGCAAGCGACGGAAGCGACAACAGCAAATCGACGCGCAAAGCAGTGATCGCCACCTTGATATCGATCGTCTTTTTGGTGGTGGGTCTGCTGTGGACCCGAGACGAATCCAAAGATGGCAAATCCCGTCCCACAGTGATTCCCGATGGTACCGATCGAGGTCATTTGAATGGATTTGGCGATTCCGTCGACAGTCAGGACGATGATCCTTGTCAAGGCTACGATACGTCCTATTACACCGACTTGATTTGGCGGGTAGAAGCCATGAACGAAACGGATCCTCTCCTCTGTCAATCCACCAATACAAAAAAGTGCGAGTGTCTGCATCCGTTGCGACCCCAACTGCAATCGACTCATCCGGGATGGAAAGTAGTAGTTCAAATGAATGTCGATTTATTACAACAGAATTATTCCACACTCCAACCCGATGTGGTGCTCTACGGAGATTCCATGGTCGAACATTTGATTGGACGCAATTACGGACACCATTCCGTCGATTATCAGGACACGGCCGTCATTACCAAACAACTCATGACCAAACGAGGTGGCGGACATATTAATGCATTGCCCATGGGGATTGCGGCAGATCAGGTGAGTAATGATGATAGATCACTCGACAAAACGAGACAAAAGAATGTTGAACATTCATGGCAGACATCTCACATGATCATTTTTTCTATTTTTGGTTCCATCTATTGTTTTATAGATTGCCAACCTGCTCTATCGCATATCCTCGGGTGGAGAAATGCCCGAATCACTCCATCCCAAAATTTGGTGGCTCATGATTGGAACCACCGATCTGCAAATGGGATGTTCCATTGATGCCGTCGTAGCGGGGGTTATTCATATTGCTCAAACCATTCTCAAAGATAACCCACACCAGACATTGACGCCCATTGTACTCAATTCACTACTGCCACGAGGAGAACACGATTTGTTTGCGGAAGACAATGCCTGGAAAAATGTCATTGCACCCGTCAATCAACGGCTCGCTTGTTTTGCACAACTCACACCGGGTGTTGAATTTGTCAATTCCACCAATCTAGTGGTTACTACTACTTCCGACAGCGAGGAGGGCACCCATCTCAATGAATCCCTCGTGATGGTCGATCACGTTCATCTCAACACGGAAGGAAATCGATTGTGGGAACAACAGATTGTATCCAATGTCATGGAGTTGATGGTGTAAACAACAGCAATTCAAAGCAATCCAATCAAATGTGGGAAACTCACACACATACACACACAAGTTGAAACCAACAATCTACTCGACTTGACTGATGGTGCGAACAAGTCTCAAGTCAAGCGGCCAATAACAGTCAAGAGCTTTTGCCTTGAGTCTCCGTTTTCTATGGCTTCCCGGCACAACGAGCGGACCGACTTGAGCTCTACCATCCGGAAATAAGGGCCCCATAACAAAGACGCAAAAGGGCTCATGCCACTTCACTACCGGCGCTACACAATCCGTCCCGGCTTTTGGCTGGCTGTTGCATTGTCCGAGAAAAAAAGGCAATCAAAAGACAACCCACATTGCGTGTGTGATAGATATAGTCATAGTTTATGTACTACAACGGTCTTCCAACAAATATGTCGTTCAGGAGACTTGACACGTCCCAGCTCTCGGCATACCGTATATCGCTGTATGAGCGAGTCACGGCCACTTCTGCGGTGTCCAAATGTTGTGTTGGAGAAAAGTTGACAAAGCTGCTGATCTGCCTAGATGTGCCTGATTGATGCCTCAAGTGTACGCATCCGCAGGGGCCCGCCTCTGTGGGGTTGCTGGCTAAATCGAAAGTTGACGGGACCCAGATCAATACGATCACCAGTACGATTGGTAATAGTAAGGGATTGATGGAATTTTCCGTCCCGAAACAAGGCGACAGAAAGCATAGCCTTAAAAGACACACCATTTGTGCCGGGACGGGAAATGCCAGGGCCTTGAATGTTGTAGCTAAACCCAATGGACTTCTTGTTGTCTCCGTGCATAGATCTTTTCAAGATTGTAAACACTTTTCCAGTGGACTTCTGATAGAGGAATAGATTGTGATGGGCTGACGCACCCATGCCCTTTTTACTGTCTCTGCCAGCAACCGGATAGTTGTCGGGATCGAAAGCACATTCAAGGCTGTGCCAACCGACACGAAGCGGTTGAATGTCATAGAAAAATACTTCCAGGGCGACATCATCTGTCGCTTGTCCTTCATTCGCAACATGGATCTCCAAAGCCACTTCATAGTCCTCAATCCAGTCATGATTGACACTGTTCGGTTGGAAATAATTATTCAAAAGGATGGTTCCAGGTGTTTGTGCCATTGTGAAGGAGCAATAGCGGCCGTAGGTCAACCAATGCTCGTGGATACCATTCCTGTTGGTATCATCTTGACTTGAATTGGAATCGGCATCCTTGGACAGCGAGGCATGCAAATTCTCTCTATTACGTTCTTCGAACAAGAGCACAATTGGATGATGCTTTTGACAGTGCTCATGGAGCAATCTCAAGCTAGTTTCACGGGATGCTTTATTGACCAGTATCAAGTTTGGGAAGGATTCATCGACTGGAAGAAAGGGGATCACCAATTGCCACACAGTGCCATAGTCGTTGGTGTTGGCGGCTTGCTGTTCCATCCTGCAAGTTTATGTCTACCAAGCTTGTTTGTTCTGAGGAGCTTTCGTTCCGACGAAACGAGCGTGTGGTACTCCTACTAGTTCCTAAATGTAGACGAACGAGATAATCTGTTTAGCTCTGTTTGCATGTGTAGGGATCATCCCCAACGAGGACCGAGGATCAAACATCATTTTCTGTTTGCCAATACATAAGCAGAGGGGATCTGACACCATCATGTTGCAAACACCAAGCGTCCTCTGAATAAGGCTCAACCGATCCCTCACGATCACGTAGCACACACATACATGTTCCGAAGGACAGTTCCCGGAGTGGTCCACACTTCGTACCAGTACAGTAGCGTGAGGCCCCGTTGGTTTTGTCGGCGCAAACAGCAATACTGCACGGAAGTCCAGGTACCGTGGAAAATAAAGGTTGAGCGTGGAAACGTTTCAAAACTCGCACCTTAATGCAATGTTGCCGATCCTTCAGCTTCAATCAACCCATCACTCTTTGCCGTCCCTCCAGCTGCATGCCGATGGGATCTTGCGCTTTGAATCTTTGAAGCAGGTCCCCCAAAGTAAAAGCCGAGCTCTATCCGGATAGATGGTACCGTCCCAAATACCGACAATGATGATATCGCGAATGATGACGATAAGACAAGCGATTGCTGTGGGTGTTCTGTTGCACTTGGTTGGAGCTGCTTTTGCTTTTACCTCTGGTAGGAACCCGACTTCTTTGAGGCCCCTCCAATACCTGCACCAGTGGCGACGACAGAGTACTAGTATCTTGGAGACATGGGACGATCGTAGAAGCATCAGAAGCACTTCCCAGTCATCACTTTTGCAACTTGGAATGCAACGAAGTGACAAGACTGCTGCCATGGCACCAACATCTGTCAAACCAGCCTTGACGTCATCCAGTGCACTACAAGCTGCCTCCTTATCACCCTTGGAAGACTGGTGTGCGCATGAAGTCGAGGCTTGGTATCAAAAAGCCGTGGCTGTAAAGTGTCCTTTCTTCAAACGACGATTTGTGGATTTGCTAGATGGCGTCGACATGGTCCTCAAGTTTCTCGTCATTCGCCACAAGACGCTATTTGGTCCACCGCCGGGCCATCGCAGCAAGTTTTCATCGGAAGACAAGATGCGACATTTAACTTTGGAGCAACGACTCGCCGCCATTGGGGCCGACTGGAAATTGGATACCCACAAGGGATACTACATTACGGGACAACTCAACACGACACTCTTTCGAGATGATTGCTGGTTTGATGGACCCGATCCAGATATGCCCGTACAGGGATTGCGCAAGTACTTGAATGCCGCATCACAGCTATTTGATAGACGGCAAAGTCAAGCCGAGTTGCTGTCGTTGGAGATTATAGACGAACGCACCATCCTGGCCCAGTGGCGCATGAATGGGGTCTTGCGATTGCCCTGGAAGCCAATGTTGCCAGAATGGACCGGGAGTACCACCTATCACTTTGATGAAGAAGGATTAATCTACCGACATGACGAAGACTGGGACATGTCCGTGTGGCAAGCCTTTATGAAAACATTTGCTCCTGATATGGCCGACAAAATTTGGGACGAAAAGGAAACTTTGGTCGGGGAGACAAATTCGCTGCAGTAGAGGTGCAGGCAGACGAATGCTGGCCTCTGGGACGTCTTCCAGGCAGTAGAGGTGCATGCAGAGATAATGGAAAGTGCCATTGATAGCTATTTCGCACCTCTGTTCACTTTGACATGGGATCCAGAGGCTTACCAGGTACTAGTACCGGTATAAGGTGCCTGTACTCTGTCTCTTGGTCGTGCGAATGAGGAGTGGATAGCTCACTCCATATCATCTCTACTGCAGATTGAAGATTCATCCGTTTTAAGGGTCTCGCGATGCCTTAATGGGCCCCGGGCTTCATTGCATCGGAAGATTCATGGTACAGTACTTGTCCCGCAAGATACGAGGGCACCTCAGTTGAGCTTGTTCAGATTCCCAGAGGTTTAGTTCTCAACGTCATCTGTGGCGGCCAACGGCTTGATCTTGTGAGTTTGTCAATTCACGTGGGATTCCCCGTCAAATTTGTTTGACCTTTGAGACCTTCATTCAGGCCGAAGCATACGGTACGATTTTGACCTTCCAGACTTTTGTGCAACGCCAAAAAGATCGAGACTTTCCTGTAGACCAATCTCTTTCTTTATAAACAAAGCAACGCTGCTGTATCTGCTTTGGTCTCTTAGCAAGCACCTGGTTTAGCAAACAGCTCAACATACACGTACGATGACGATGAATCATGCTGCCTTCGATGATACGGATTCCCAGTCTACCGGATCGACGCAAACTTCATCAAGCATCCCAGCAGGACTTCCCACCTTCGTGCCTGGTATCAGTACGCTTGCAGCTTATTTTGGACCGGGGGGGAAGTCTCGGCGTTGCATTCTTCTCTGTGTGCATGTGCTCGTCGTCGTGGCCTGGAAAGTCCCGCAAAAGCTGAATTCTGCGATATTCTCTTAATTAAAGAACTTGAACTGTTGAATAACGACCATAAGTGTTGAAAAAGTGTTGATTAAGTGTTGAAAAAGTGTTGATTAACTGTTGATTCTCCTTCAGCAACTGTTGAAAATACTGTTGATTTTTTGTACAATGTTTTCAACACTTTTACTGCAAACTACTAGTACTGGATTCAACAGGTGTTGAAAACAGTGTTGAACTGTATTCAACAGTGTTGAAAAAGTGTTGAAAAGGTGTTGAAAAAGTGTTGAAAAAGTGTTGACTAACTGTTTAACGAATCTCTTGACTGTTGAAACAAAAATTAACACTTTTACCTAGCCTTTCAGCGATTTCAGCATTTGCGGGACTTTCCTGTAGCTGGTTGTGCCGGTTCCGACACCATGACTCTCCCCTCAAGAAAATAATCGTTCTTGGAGTAACCGGCGGTGGTAAAAGCACCCTCGGCAACACGATGCTCGGTCGAGAAGAGTTTGTGGTAGGCCACGATATGGCTTCCTGTACGGACGAAATGGCCGAAGGTGTTGGCCACTTGTTCGGCGACAACGGAAGTGGTGTCCTGGTTGATGTAATAGATACTCGTGGCCTCGGCGATACGGAAGGACGTGATGGACAATTCGTGGATGATATCCTAGCTCACCTGAGGGAAAACGGGGGAGTTCATGGCATTGTGTTCGTTCACAGGGCCTGCGAAAAAAGATTGAGTACCCAGACAAGGAATGCTCTTGCTACCGCGGTTGCCACCCTCGGTGGTGGGTTATATGGGAGGCAAAGACTAGCAAGTCGCCTATCAGTTGTTCTAACAGGGTGCACAGATCAAATGACGAGAGTACAATATTCGGCACTGCCCCACTTGCTTTGCGACCAGCACAAACTTTGTAGCGTCCCACTTTTCTGGTACGATGATTGGAGCTCTTGGGGGAAGTTTTGGCTGTGGCTGAAGCCCCGCTCGTGGAGAACAGAGTTCAGAAAATGGACTGTCGCTCTACCAAATGACCCAATATCAGTGCCCTCTAAGATTGAAGAGGAAAGACTTAAGATGGAGCTGAGAGACGAGATCGCCCTAGCCACAAGTTCATGTTTTTCGCCTGATTCGTTGGTGATCGATCGAGCCCTTGGGCCCGTCATGATGAAAGACCTTGTCGTTGGCAGTGAGGTGGCTACTGCCGATGGCTGGTCCACTGTCACTACATTCCTCCACTGGCATCCCAATATGACAGTCAGGGCGCTCAAGATTGTCCATGATCACGGTGTACTCACGTTGTCACCCGAGCACATCCGACGGGATTTCTGTCGCAGATGTTTTCCCTCCGCATTGCCAAAAAGGCCCATTGGGGATCAGATCCCAAAGGAACCACTGGGACTTCGGTACTTTGCCGTACGGTAGGAGCCACAATTCTCCATCACGGTTTCCATTTTGTGTGTTTTTGCGAGCGAGACCAATCCAATTTATTATTAAGATCAAGTACTAGGCAGTCGTTTTGTTTTGGACTGTAACGTAGTGGATGACGGCTATGGAACTGCTTCCGAGATCAGAAGCTCACAGGAGCAAGGTTGGCAACTGGTCCCGTTCCGTAGATTCATATACCGGTACCTAAAGGGAGGCCACATCATGGCTTTCGCACGATTGGCCATGATGCGGATGATTGTGTCAAGTAGAAGACGCTTCCACTTTTGATCCCGAGATCAAATGCTCCAGCCACGGCGGAACTGCCAGCAGACTCCTCAAATGAACGACACGGCCCTCAGTAGCATTATCAGTTTTTATCGGTACAGCATCAGCAAAACGGAGGAGTTGCACGTCCATACGCCTGGGCAGAGTTGCCTCCAATCCGATGCCTTCTTTTGTCATCAGGTCCACGGAGAATGTAAGGGGGTGTCATTTGAAAAAGAGTGGCTTCAAGTCCACTACCAGGAGCTTAGTAGAAGTTTCAGTTGACGTGTTGATTTGGTTGTACGAGCTTGATAGTGGCCTGAGCACCAAATAGCCCGTGTCCTATGAGAAGTAATAGCCAAAAAATGGCATCATGAAAACAGTGCTTCTTGGCAGCATGGTTCGCAACAGAGTCCGTATGCCCTGAGCACAGGTACTGGCGTCTGTTGTTCGCTCTGTTGTTATCCAACTATCCAACTCGCTAGTTAAGTTTGCAGGCACCACAATCACACCCACAGAGGGAAGTGCCATGGCAGACAGTTGTGTTGGTTTTCATTCGCAAGACTTTACACTGTGGATGGCCGAAGCATTTCATTTCCTGCTGGTACATTCTGTCACACAGCTGTTCAGGGATGCTGCCCGACAAGGATGTGTCTGTGACTACCAGGCTGGTCAAATTCTCCAGCATAAGTATTTCTGTAGGGAGGATGCCAGAAATGTTGGTATTCTGTAATTCAAGTGTCCTGAGATCAGACAGCTGACCCACTTCCGTAGGAACATTGCCCGAGAACATGTTGTCATTGATGAATATGAACCGCAAGTGGGAAAGTTTGGAAAAGAGAGCAGGTGGTAGTGTGCCCTGCAACTGGTTGAATCTAAAATACAAGTGGCCTAGATCTGAGAAAGTAAACAAAGACAGGAATATTGGAAAGGAAAGGCATGAGTAAAGAAAAGTGTGTAGTGACGCAGGCTATTCACAACACTCACTCTTCAACCCCAACAAGGCTGGCGGTATAGTTCCTGAAACTGAGTTTCCACTCAATGCTAGAGATGTCTAGTTAAAGGTCAGTCAACTTCAAAAGACGAATAGTAAGATTGCATAACCTTCTTGGTTGCTTACCAACTTCTCTAATTTCCCAAGTTGATCTGGAATAGTTCCATGAAGATTCCAGTCCGCCAAATCGAGGCGTTTCAGTTCTGTCAGATTGCCAATTTCAGCTGCATCAAAAGGAGTCTAGAAAGTGAGTCGTCCTTGTTTGCAGCCTCCCTTCCACATGTGATGCTAGCATCAATTCTTACATGGAATTGACATTACTGTCCCACTCCTTCGGCTTGAAAGTTTAAGCGAGCGAAGATGCATTGCGTTGCTAACAACTTCTTCAAGGATGTATTCAGTTTCCAGCCCATCACATTCAAAAATTACTAGAGACTGCAGGCCAGGCAATTTGTAAAGCTCACCTGGTACTGAACCTAGATGGAATGACAGTATCAGGTTTCCAATGATGATCTGCTGACCAAACCGAAACAAAGCGCACATACCTGTTATATCAGCTGTCGCCACAGCAAATGTCGATAAGTTGCGCAGTCGTCCAATCTCAGAAGGAATATGCCCATGAATAGGTGTCCCAACAAGATGCAGCACCTGGAGACTCTGCAGTTGACCAAACTCGGTTGGAAAGGAGCCACCAATGTTTGTAATAGTCAACAATAATTGAGTCAATTTTGTCAGCAGTCCAAACTCAGTGGGGATGGTTCCCTTGAGTTGCAATTGCCGATTCACTTCGATTGACTGCAAGCTTTTCCCCAGCAAGGAAATCTCCGGAGGAAGTGTTCCGTCCATGCTGTTGGCATTCCAAAATACCAGTGCCTTGATTTCTCCCATCTCATTACAGCTAAGGTCAGGAGAGAATGTTCGTTTCAAAAATATTTGTTCCCAGCTGCATTCATTAGTCTCCCAATCCAACCAGCCACGACGTTGCACCCAATAGTCCCCTCTTGTGGAATAGTAGAATGTGGCCATCACAAATCTTTGTATCAGTCTCCATTTTGGGAGATCTGGTTGCGTGAAGGTTTGGTTATTGATGTTGTTGACCAACCATTGATATGCCTTGGACTGAGGAGATCTGGAGTTGGTCAATGCCTCTTGTGTGTAGTGAGGTAGATTGAGTGACTCCAAAAGGGTCTGCGCAGTTGCAGCAGCTTCCACGGGATTTTCAGGAATATAAATTGATCCTTTTTGATTTGGAAGCTGATTTGTGCTTCCTTTCTTGGAGGATGTCACCACAAAGATCAGGACAGTAATAGATACAGCAAGGAAAGCCACAATGACCTCAGCAGAAAGGGAACAAAGCAACTTTTGCCTCCAGTAGTAAGCTCTGGATCTCTGGTTGGTTGGTAGCGGCACTGCATTGGGTAACAGGTCTATCTGCTGATCATCGTCTATAGGATGCGCAATGACTTCATTGTCTGCAATTTCTTGAATCAAATTGTAAAAGCCTCCCTCACTTGTACCAGTATTACTACCGGCATTCGAATGATTAACGCTGTGATTAGCAAAACATGGACCAACAACAGCATATGCACCAGGACAAGTTTGTGGTTGTCCAAAATACTCGGGTTGCCTCATTGGAATTGTATGTAGTGGCGAATGTGCATCATCTGTGGTTCTGTCGTGGCTGTTGTCGCCCATCGGTAAGGTTGTGCCAAATTTTTGGGTGAGTTCTACTAGCTCCAAGTCTCCAGCTGTCTCAATATGTGCAGCATCAGCTCTTTCTCTGACAATCTTCATTATATCAAAGTCACTTGTGGTTGTTGATGTTGGAAGAGGAGAGGTGGCAGCAGTGGCAGCAAGATTTGGTGAAGGAGAAGAACGGCTAAACGAACCATCATGATCATCTTGGGTTTGTTTGGACGCATCCTTTTCTTGACAATTTTCTGAATTTCCTGGCTTCAATCTCAACTCCGCAGTCTTTTTATGATCGACGTCTTCATTGTGGTTGTTGTTATTGTTGTTGTTGGACATGTTGGTCACTCAAGAGTGACAGTCAAGGGACAACAGCAACAGCAACCGATACGGTACAGTACTAGTACATGAGTAGTCTAGCTATGCGGCGACTCTCAATTGCCCTTGAAAAAAAACACGATTTGTGCTCGCTGCACTAAAAAGCCGGCAGTACCGTACCACCGGTCCCTTGTCAAAACAACGTGGCACAGTTCGTGCCTCCAAAGGATTGATGTGAGAGTATCTTGAAGCAGTGTGCTTCTTAGTCAGCTCTGTTGAATTTGTACCGAGCTTGGATCTTTTGGTTGGGTCGGGTATTCCCGCTTTGCCAAGAAAGAAAATCGCTTCAGTGAGCGGACAGGACACAAAACACAACCAGCTTTCCCGACAGACACTAGCTAGCTAGTAGAAGCATCATCAAATCATCCATCATATATCCAAATCATCCACGCTGTTGACTAAACCACACTTTGCTGAGACCATGACGACGACTCCCAGTAGTACTACAAGCGACAGTTTGGGACCCAATGCCCGTCTGTTGCAAGAATCCTGTCCCGCCCTGCTGTCCCTCTTGTCGGCGAATGGGAAAGAATTGTTGGCCGTGTTGGATATGGAAACAGCTTCGGATGGATCTTCCCCCAATGTATCACCGCTGCCGACTACCGAAATTCCCTGGTACTGGCATCAAGTCCATTTGATGCTGGTTCTGCGAGTACTAGTGACACGTACATCCAGTGGATTGGCCACGGCCGTGGTGGAAAGCAATTATAACGATTCTCGCACGGGTGGGGCTTTGCCCTTTCCCGACGCCACGCCGGCTCAATTGTCGGAGCGTTTGACGTTGCTGCAGTCCTTACTGCAAAAGATGCAAGACAAGTTGGAACAATGGGAACAACAAGAGCAGCAAATCGTAGATGACAATAAGAAGAAAGCCCCACTCCAAGCCACCATGGGTCTTCTCGCCAAGGCGTATCAAATGAAACCCGTGGAAAAACGAATTTTTCAATTCTTGGTGACCACCAAAACCCAACCCAGTCCGACTGTCTTGGCATTGGTGACACCCCACAACGGTGAATTACCGACCAAGGGCGAAGACGATGACATGGCCTTTCGGAGTACCATGCTACGCTATGTGTGTGGCGTCACGGTCATGTACTGGGGGACATTGGCGAATGAAGATCACGATCTGTGCAAGGATCGCATCTTGGTATTGACACAAGAAGAATACGGCAACGACAAGATGTTGTCTGTCAGTGAAGAAGTCTGTCGGGTACTGTTCGGATGGCCCTTGAAATCCGAAGACAAAATCAAATTGTCCGGCACCAAACTACTCAAATTGATGCAACCCGATGCGGCTGATGGATTCATGATGGAGGATGGCGATGAAGCAACGGACGATGCCGGTTCCACCGATGAGGATGCCGAAGATACCATGGCATTCCTAGGGCGACTCAGTTTGAGAGGAGATGACGACATGGTCAAGGAATTGGCCAAATTGGAACGGGAAGTCACAAAATCTGCCGATACATTGCCTAGTTTGCCCGGTTTGGAGGAAGGGTCACCACAGGAGGAAGAAGAAACGACTCCTAGCGAAAAGGGTGCTGCCACTACTGCGACAACCGACACCGCCACTACGGATGATGACAATGATGATGATTCGACAGGCTCATCGGAAGACAAGACCAAGCCACAACCCTACAAGAACGAATTGGAATATCTGCAACAGTACTTTGAGATTGTCATGTACAAGGTTGTATACTCGCGACAACGAGTGCAACAGGAAATCCGCAATGCGTCGCTCGGAGACACCAAACCCTCTTGGATGCGCAGCTCGGCCGAAAACTCCAACTCCAAATTCTCCGTAGGAGAAATGTCCGCCAAGATTCGCATGGGACGACGCAAGATGCAACTCTCCCTCGAATTGACACGCAAATCCGGAAAGTTTTATCCCCGTCTCGAAATACTCGCCAAACAGCTGCAGTTGGACGACTTCCACAAGTTTTGTCTGGTCTATTTGGCCGGCGCCATGATTTCACCCATTTTCAAATCGTGCATTCAAGGTGAAGAGTACTCGCCCAAGAATGCCAAAGTGGGAGATATTCTGGTCGTCTACTTTGATTCGTTTGCCGAACAAGTCGCCAACCGGACCTACTTTTATCGATCGTCCAAGCTGCTGCGAAAGGGATTGATCAAATTCATTGAAACGTACCAGCTCAACGACTTGACCGATCAGGAACTTAAATTGGATCGCCGGGTTCTGGATTGCATTGTGGGACTCGACAAGGAATCTTCCGAAATCTCGACGGGCAGTCATCTCTACGAACCCAAGGTTTCCTTGGATGCCGTGGTCCTCCCGGGGCCACTCAAAGATACCATCACCAAGGCCGTCTCGCACTTTGAGCAGTTCCGAACGTATCGCAAGCATCATCCAGACTTTGATGACGCTATTGCCTATGGCGTGGGATTGACTTTGATGTTTTGTGGAAAGTCGGGTAAGTGATTCTCTTTTGTTGTGCTGTGCTGTGCTGTGTTGTGTTGTGTTGTGTTGTGATACAGCAACCTCATCGTCTTTGGCTGCATGGATGCTTACTATAGGGACTGGAAAAACAATGACAGCAAACGCTATTGCGGCAAGGCTGGGTAAAAAGCTCCTGCTGGTAAACTTTCCGCTACTGAACAAAAAGAGCGAAAACAAAGAAGGTGAAACATCGAAATATCAGTCAATCTTCCGGGAAGCGGAGCTATCGGATGCCATTATCTTTTTCGACGAATGCGAGTCTTTGTTTTCCCAGCGCGGTTTTGGAGGGTCGTCCGAAACCACAGAGCTCTTGACAGAGCTGGAGAGATTCGAAGGAATTGTGTTCCTCGCCACCAATCGACCCTTTGACTTGGATGAGGCAATGTACCGTCGCATCAGTGAAGTCTTTGAATTCAAACCACCCAACTACCTCGAACGTCTCGACATTTGGAAGCTAGTGACATCGCACGATGCCGTACCGTGCGATCCTAACATTGACTGGGAAAGCATTGCTCTCAAGTATGAGCTCACGGGAGGTTTCATCAAGAATGCGGTCATTTCGGCTTTGTTGGATGCGGTGGGTCGTGATCCTCGTTCCCCTTGCGTCAAAGAGGAGGACATTTTGGAGGGTTGCAAAAAGCAAGTAAGAGGAGCGCTTCAAATGGTGGATTTCAACGAACGAGTCGTTCCACGGGGTGGCATTAGCGACCTCGTCGTTGCCGATTCCGTAATGGAGAAAGTCCATGAGATTGTAAACTTGGAAAAAGCTCGGGCTATTCTCTTTGGCAACTGGGGGTTTGATGCTGACATGAGATCGCGGCAAGGTACAACGTCGCTCTTTTGGGGGCCCAGCGGCACAGGACGAAGCCGTGCAGCCGAAGCGATTGGTTTTGAGCTCGGAAAGCCGTTGAAGGTTCTCGATTTACCCCGCTTGCTGTCGGAGCGAAAAGGCAACGAATCGCCCGGTGACGGCAGCGCCAAATCCGTCCGCGCTGTCTTTCACGAAGCACGGTTGATGGACGCCGTGTTGGTCCTCGATGGATTCTCCCTGGACACCGACGGCGGAGGCGGTGGGGGTGGCGCTGATTCCCACGTACTGAACCTTGTGATGAGAGAAATGACTCGCTTCCCTGGCGTTGTCATCATGATGGTGACCGCCTCAGGCTCCTTGGACGTGTTTGTGTCGCGACTTGACAAATCTCTGGTGAAGAGCCTCAAGTTCTTGGTCGAGTTCCAGCTGCCAAGCACCAGCAATCGTGAGATTCTTTGGAAGAAGCTCATGCCACCTGCGCTGCCGCTGAGCGAGGACCTGAACTATAGAAAGCTTGCTGAAGCTTCGAGTGACTTTAGTGTAAGTCACATTGGCAATGCCGTTTATCGAGCTGCTGCTACTGCAGCCTTGCGGAAGGACGCCAAGGACAGGTCCGTCAGCATGAAAGCTCTCTATGCGGCAATTGAAGAAGAGAAAACGAGAGGAGAGTCCGCCGTAGATCGTTGGGTCAAGGCTCAGTACATCTAGATTCTGCTAATGAAATAAAACCCTACAATACACAACTTTTCGATGTATGGTTAGCCACTAAAGGGGCAAACATGAAGCTCGCGGGGCGACTGGGTGTGTCTTGTCATTGGTCGATTCCCAAAAGATTTCGCGGCATCTTTCTCGCTGCGTCTGAACAGTGCTGGCACCATTGGTAGTCATATTGGACATGCCTTCACCTCCTTCAGAGGCTTCCTCCATTTTGGCCCTGTTGTCATCGGTTGTGTCGATTATCGTTGATGAAGCGACTCATTGCGCCCTTCCGACGAGATTCTTCGGCAGCCAAAATGCGTTTCCGATGCTGTTCCGGGAATCTTCAAAACTTGTTGAATTGGCAACATCATTCGAAGGCAATGGGAGAGAGCATAATACTCTGCCTCGGCAGTGGCCAACCAGACACAGGAGATGAGCTGTGACTTCCATACCAGTGAGCATCCTCCAATGTTGAAGGCGATGTAACACAGGCGGGACTTGGCACTGGAAGCATCCTCAATTGGATCCGCCTTGAACAATCCAGCAATTTATGCATCGCTCATCAAATTGACGGCTAGAGTTCCATCCGGTCGCATTATGGCTCCCTTGTCCTTGGTCCCGGCAACAAGATACCTCACAATACGCTTCACTGCTGTAGCATGGCTTTGCTTGGGATCATGAATGAATCGGGTGACTTGACTGACGGCAAAGGTGATATCAGGACGAGTGTTGGTAGATAGGTACATCATCATCCCAACCACACTTGCATAGGACCAGTCATCCGTCATTGCCTCTTCGTCGGTATCCTTCCCAAGGGGATGATGGTTAGGAGTAGATGGAGTGGGACTTGTGTTGCAGTGATGCATTCCAGTGGCCTCAACAATCTTGTCAATGAGGGCTGGTTGCGTCATGTCGAAACCTCCATCAGGTACTACGCTCTCACAGATGAATAAATCATCCACAAAATAGGTTACCACCATCATACCAGGCTTTGCAAACAAGCATTTGTCTTGATGGGACTGTTGCAGGCTGAAAAAATGAAGCGGAATCAAATGAATAGGGCTCGAGCTATTTTTGACGTTCGTTTAACGGCTTTCACCCCTGCTGCAAAATTCAAATATGTTGCCCCAATCTCTTCACATTTTTTTTGACGGGCGACCATGACGAAGAAGCTTGAAAAGGAACTACGAAAGGTGCTTTTGCCTCACTTTGAGTCCTACCAGAAACAAGGACAGCTCGATGAAGCATGTGAGCTGTCAGTAGATGCTAGCGCCAAGCAGTTGATGACCAAACTGCAACAATTGGAAGTGTCTACGCGGCTGGAATCTTTGACGTTGAACAACAAGAACGATGACGAGGAGGAACCATCGGACTTTGAAGAGGCGCTGGGAAGGGAACTCGTCCAATACATTGACGCGACTGTCTCCACAGAAGCCTCCAGCGACCTTCAGGACTGTGTGGACCGTGTCTTGTCATTGAGTGCAGCCATTGCCATTCCTTTTACATCATCGCAGGATCAGCATCATGTTGGATCCATGGTGCTCTCACGTGCCCTAGACTACTCGGTGGTGTTGCTGGAGCGTGTGCGAGGACATGGCTGTCTGTTGCTGGGAAAACTGGTGACTAGCTTGAAGAAACTACAACTTGAAAAGACCGACAATACAAACATTTTGGAATGGATCGATGAGAGCTTGGTTGCTGTGGAGGAAACGCTTGAACCTCGTCTCCAGGATAAGGCTCAAATGGTGCGAAGTCACGCCATCAAGGCAGCCGGTGCCTTCTTTGTGACGCCCGACGATGAAGAGGCTCACAGCGATATTTTGGAAGCCATGATGTGGAACATGGCGCATGATCCATCCGTCAACAACCGAATTGTGGCTGTGCAGTGTACTCCAGCCAATCCCACCACCATGGATGAATTGATTGCACGTGTGAGGGACATCAAGCCCAAAGTACGAGCCGAGGCATTGACTGTTCTGGCCAAGAAAACTCAGGGGATCTCTCACTTGACCGAAGCGCAGATGGTCGACTTGATTCGCTTTGGGTTGACCGAACGGTGAGCACATGAAACCCTGCCGCAGCAAAACAGTACGCTACAACTCGCCTCTCACCACAATTCTTGCCTTTTTTGCCTTTATCGCCACTTACTTGATGTTGTTTAATAGATGCCAAGCTACAAAGAAAGCAGCTTCCAAAATGATTTGTTGTGGCTGGATGAAGAGTGCCAAATACGACCCAATTGCGCTGCTCCAGAGTTTGAATGTGCTGGACAATGAAGACGAGGCCAACCGAGCTCTGGAAGTTGTCATGGAGGCGGCACAAGACAGCAATAGCGATCTTCTGGAAGAGCTGAGTGACCCCGAGCAGAGAGCGTTCTGCAGTGGAGTGGCCAAGGCGGCCGAGTGCATCAAGAATGGCGAAGGAGGCGACGAGGAACAGCAACTGCAACCCGAGAAACTCTTCTTCTTGCGGGCTAGATGCAAGAGTGTTTTGGCTAGCAAAACTTTGACTTGGGCACAACAAGACGCCATCACCAACAAACTCATTCCAGATGTCCCGCTTCTCTGTGAAGTTATTGGAAAACACGCCACGATGCTAATCCAAGCCATCGATGACAATGATGAAGCAAAGGGAGATGTCGAATCTTTCATTTGTCTGCAACTTTTGCAGCTGGCAGAAGTTTCCAATCTCAGCGAAGAAGGGAGCCGCCGCCACTTTGCCTATGTCATGAAGGACATGCTTTCGTCCATCAAGACGCCAGATGACTTGGTAGAAGGGTGTATTCAAGCATTGCGCTTGACTTGTGTCGGAGAGGATGAAATGGCCGGCAGCATTAGTGCCATCATCAAAACAATCAACAGCAAAGAAACCGGCGAGACTGATACCGATGGAGAAGAAGAGCCAGACGCTGAACTCACGACCATCAAGCTGGTCCGAACCTTGTCAGTCCTCACAGTCTACCTCGAGACTGCCTCCAGTGAGCTATCGTCCAATCCAGCTGTGGATGACTTTGTCAAATGCATTGTCCCTAGTGTCACTCACAATGATACCTTGGTTCGCGAGGCTGCCATTGGGTGCTTTGGCAAGCTGGGTCTTTTCGCAGACGAAACGACACTCTTGTCCGAATTCAAGCCACTCATGCTGCAGGTTGCTGCTCACGAAGACGAAAAACTGGAAATTCGTGCCCAAGCTCTACTGGCTCTGGCCGATTGGTCCATGATCTTCTCGGAATGTCTCACTGCTTGCCATGTCGGAGACAACGAAGAATTGTCATTTACGGAAGTCGTTCGAGAATTGCTAGACGACGCTCGCATCTCGGCCGTTTGTGTCGCCAGCGAAGTGGCGGCAAAGCTTCTCTTTGCTGGCAAAGTCTGTGACAGTGAATGGATGGCCAAACTATTGACAATCTACTTTCATCCGCATTTTGCTGACATGGACGCGGACGATGAGGATATTAAGGAAGTTGGCAGCCCCGTTCGCCTACAGCAGCTACTGGGACTCTTCTTCCCAGCCGTGTGCATCAAGGAAGACTCTGGTGGTCGAGACGCCTTGATGGGTTCGATCGCTTCCATCTTGGACCTTGTTTACGTCCAGACACCCACCAAACTCAACAACTCCAATGGCAAGAAGTCGAGAAAGAAAGTTACTTGGCCCGTCAAAGACATGGTGCTCTATGTGTGCGAGACGGTCAACTCCAAAAACGAAGAGGAAGAAGATGACGCTACAGTGGTACAGGGCAGCGGCGAGGACGACCCCGCCAACACCACTACGGCCGGTGTTTCGGTCGCACAAACGGAAGCTGTCGATATGAATAGTTCATCGCTCCTGGCAAGCATTCAGTTGGCAGACTTTCTCGCCAAGCAAAGCCACATCCTCACTACTACAGACTCTCGCACACTCTGCAAGCTGCTGGGAGCAGCAGATTTTGACGCCGAAGAAGAAGAGACCAAGAATGTAAAGTCACTAAAAGAAACCATGGAGGTGTTGGGCACTCAAATTCTCGACGAAACAAGCTTGAACTGTCTTTCTGATTTGAACGAGTATCTCGCTGGCATTGAATTCGACTCAGAATCGGAGGAGGAAGAAGAGCCTGGAGCAGGAGACATTCGGGGAACTGCATCTGACGACGACGAGGGTGGTGGAGACGACAACGAAATCGATCTTAGCGACGATTTGATGAAATCCTTGGAAGAGCTCAAGATTGACGAACCCTTGAACAAGGAGAATCCGGGCAAATCCACCAAGAAGCGTTCCAGCAAAGGGAGAAAGAACAGCGGCGAAAGCACTTCAACTCGTCGTTCGCGCCGCCTTCGCACCGTTAACTAGCTCCATGTTGGTTGCAAGGTACGGCTTAGTATATGTGGGAAGAATTCTAGTGAAAGTTGGTGGCATTGGTGTGTTGGTAATAAGAGTTGTAGGCAGCTATCACGCCAACGGTACAGTGTACCGTACTAGCAAATTCGTGTTCGAAGAAAATTGAACTTCGTTTTATCCAATGCCGTACCGTACTCCGTTTGCAAGCGAGATCACCGTAGCCGCATCACAACGACGGTGGCGACGGCAGTGGATTGGGGTCGAGCAGTCGTTCTCTTCTCAGTTCCGGCGCTTTGTCCTCTGTTGGCGGCCATTTGCCTCCACTCATGACATGTTCCACTTCCTCGATGGTCCGTGGACACAGGGTATAATTGATGCATCCATCCTTTGTAATGACCACGACGTCTTCCAAGCGAACACCTCCAAATCCACGATACTCTTGAATCATTGTTTCGTTGAGATATGGTTTCAAGGGCGATTCTTCCGCGAGGGCCCCATCCAGCAAGTGATCAATAAAGTAGCAGCCGGGTTCGACCGTCAATGTCATGTTCTCTTTCATGTCCCGGGCGGTCCTTAGTTTTCGAAGTCCAGGCTCGTCGATTCGTGGCTGGTGCCCTGGAAGGTACCCGCCCACGTCATGTGTGTCAATTCCTGCCGAAAGTCAAGCCAAAAACAAAACAAAAACGCACCAGGTAAGCAAGGGCGGAAGTCAAAGTGAGTCAGTGCATCCGTGGGCGTACCAATAAAGTGTCCCAATCCATGTGGCATAAAGACGGCTCCCAATCTCATTTCGACCAATTCTTCCACTGTCTTGTCATTGGTCGTAACCATTCCCATGGCAATGAGATTTTTCAAAATGGCCGCTTCGGCCGCCTTGTGACAATCCAAATACGAGACTCCCGGTTTTAGCATGTTGTAGACATCAATTTGTGCCTGCAGCACACCGCGATAGATGTGTCGCTGTCGGTCATTGAATTTGCCACTGGCCGGGAAACTGCACGTGACATCGGATCCATATCCAAAATACTCGGCTCCCATGTCAAAGAGGCATATGTTGTCGTGTTCGAGTTGTCGATCATTGGGTTCTCCCGCATGTCCGTAATGCAGTACGGCCGCATTGGGTCCACAGCCACAAATACTCGTGTAGCCGACCAACCGACATCCGTAATTGTAATAACAGTAGTGTCGAAACAAGGATTCTCCTTGATATTCCATGTTTCCCGGTTGAATGTTGCGCATGACATAGGCGTGGGCAAACGACGTGACTTCCGTGACATGACGGAGCATGGCCAATTCCGTCTCGCTTTTACCGACGCGACATTCGGCCAAAATGGGAAATAAGGTGTCCACGTCAATAATAGTGTTGTCTTGGAGGCGTTTGGATTCCAGGGTGGGTGGTTCATACATGTTGCCAGAATCCGAGTTGGGACCCTTCATGAGATAGAGTTTCTTGTTGTTGGTGCTGCCTGCATGAGTAGTATCACCATTTGTGGTATGTCCATTCATGGCTGGTTTATCGTCCAGCAAAGTCTCTTCCAATGTACTCTCCATCTCGTCGAGGTATTTGACCTGATCCACTTGATAATGGTCCTTCCATTCGTCTGGCAATTGAATGCGTCCCATAATGGTGGCATAGTCGGCGGGTAATTTGGGAATAAACAGCGTCACTTGCTGGGTGGAAATATCAATGGCCACGGCACAATCGGGTTCCTTGACACCCGTCAAATACCAAAAGTACGATTCTTGACGAAAGATGGGTTCATGGTCCGAATCGAACCGTTCGGGATTGTTGCCGCCTCGCAGGAAAATGACTCCTTCACAGCTGCCTTTCAATTCATTCAGTAGCTTTTGGCGGTTCCTACCAAAGAGCGCGTCTTGCGGCACCTGGAAGGTCGCCTTGCCCATCGACAAGATGCCAGGAGCAGATTTCGTAAAGGGCATGGTGGATGGATGATGATGGATGTCGAAATAGAAGCAGCAACGGGTGACAGAGAAAAAGTGCTCGTGTTGGATCTTTGTCTTTGACCGAGCGCAGAGGTCACTGTGGGCAGGGACAGCTCTAATGCTTTTTAATCTTTGACTTTCTACAGCGTGTACTTGGCTGGCCCAAATAATTTTGAATCTTTTACGGAACAGAGGCGCGGAAAGATCACTATCATACATTATGCATCTCACGAGCTACCGTAGTGCATTCTTCAATCTACCAATTCCTTTGCGCAACTTAGTTAGGAGATCCAAGAGACGCTACCATTCTATTGTAAATCTTGTCGCAAATTTTTCCGTTTGGCAATCAAGCTTGCAAGAGGCTGCAATCCCCCGAAATAAATATTCGTATGAACTACACTGTAGCTAGCACGCTCAAGCTACCACGGAAGCCACAGTACCTTCCTTAGCAACCTCCTCAGGACTGCTCTTGGCCATTGTTCAAGGAAAGCTTCCTCATGGAGATCTGGAGGTTCCACTCTCTCTGGAAGGTCTACACCAGTACGAGCCGCCACATGAGCAATGGCAGCAGCAGCAAGATCCCAAACAATATTGGAAGGAACAAGCGGTTTTCCATCGGTCTGGCCAAGCAAGTCAAACCGCGCTGAATCATCATATGCTCCAAAGGAAGCATGTGCAGCACCATAGATATCCATAACAAAGGTCTCTGGAGAAGCATACATGGAATGTTCTTCCCATTGCGTCCTGTCCATCAATCCATCCAATGATCCAATCAAAGATGCCATGGGCAAACTGCTATTGGAGTAGTCAGTAGCACCACAGCCCAAGTCACGTCGAACATCCGCAGCCAACATTACAAGCCCAGCCGCGGCATCATCTCCAGCTTCCATTCGCTGCCACATGTCACTGTTAATTGTTTGAGTTTCCCATGATAATAATCTTTTGTGACATAGATGCTGATTACTCCGTTTGTTGCTTACCTCATGGCAGCAATGCCACCCAAGGAATGTCCAGCCAGGACCCACTTTTCTACATCCGGAAACTCTGCTTTCGCCAAGTCCAAACGTCCAGAATCACAAAGTCCAAACAGAAAGGCTCGATCGCCTGCAAAAATGGGAACCACTGCTGGAATTCCATAGCGGTTGGCCACAATATCTGCTATAGGAGCGTAGCTTCGGGGATCCACAAGTGCTCCAGTGTAAAATATCATTCCAACCTTGCTGGGTTCGGGGAAGAGATCTGGGGAGACGGTAAAAGGAATTTGGCACCGATTGCCATTAGCAGAGCATGATCCGGCTGCAGCAATGGCTCTGGCCTCATCTATGACAGCATCATCGCGATATGGTTCAGGAGTGGCCTCTAACGCAATGGGCAAGGGTGGGGATGTGTAACCTTGTAGGGAATGGAGCTGCTGCTCGCCTGTCGCCAAAAAGAGAAGATCCAAGTTACTCATTGGATTGTGTTCTTTTTCGAAGGTGACCACTGGGATCCTACCGATTTGATGCCGATGCCCAGTACGATGGGTGCATTATTCAATCAGCTGTATTCTCTTCTGTCGCTCTTTGACCCATCCTTTGATTCTCTTCTGCAGTGGCAACGACGGAGCTTTTTGCGACGGCGGCACTTGGGGAACAATCTGAAGCCACTGCTGGGGGTTGGCTTACCCCACCTTGCTGAAAATGCCTGGACTGCCACACACTACAACCGGGCTTCGAGTATTAGGTGCTACGAAAGCCAGGCTGGGCTACTACCAGGTACTAGGCTTTTTATTAAGCAAACCCTCGTTTTTCTACATCCCTCTACTAGCTAGCTCTAGACGATGAAGGTGCTGAGGTAGCGATTGTGAGTGTTGCGATTGTATCTCATCCTCCCTTTCAGTATGGTTTTGTGACAGTTTTTAGCGAAACCAACAGTAACTGAGGCTGGATTACCCCACCTTCCTGAGAATGCCACTTTGGCCACCACCTCCAACCGCGCTATTACGACTCGACTCCACTCTCCCACTCGTTTTCCCATATCCCTTCTCATCATCCCTCTCAGTATGGTATAACAGAATGATGGGGATGACACGCACTGGGTATGGTACTCTACAGCGTATCGGTAGAGCCCTGGGTATGATGACGAGGTTGGGAGAGGTGTACAGTACCATGTATCGTTGCACATGGTTCCTGAGTTACTACCTACTACTCCACCCTGCTCTGCTTTGTGCAATTCTTCTGCTGGTCACAAGGTCCGGCTCAAAGGAATGTTCCGCTTTTGGCTCTCTCTTCCGAGAGGATTACAAGGTATGCCAAGAGGGAGCTTCTCTTTGTCAAGATTGATGGGGGTTTCAATCCATCAGAGGGAGTACCGGTAGGAGCATGGGAAGAATCAGCATAGTCGAAGGGGCCAAGGCATGATGTGGGGGTGCAGAAAGATCGCTTCATGGTCTGGTACACTGACGGGGCGAAATGGGATCAGAAGGAGTAGAAGCATGGGAAGAATCAGCAGAGTCGATGGGGCCAAGGCATGATTTGGGGTGCAGAAAGATTGTTCATGTGAGCAGAAAGGATTTTTCCTCGTTTCGCGCAGGACGACAAACATGTTGAGACAAATCTTGACGACTAGCTAGACCTACAGCATCCGGATTCCGGATACAGCTGTACAGTACTAGCTAGTACATGTAGCTTGTCTCACAGTTTTCGCGGACTTGCTTTCTTTTTGTACCGGTGGCTAAGCTTCGGATGGGAACCCGCACTGCGTTCGTGTGTTGGTTTCCTCCTTCTGCTTCATCAGCGTCTGACGTCAACTTTAAACTTCGTATCCTAGCTAGTGCTGCCGAAGACTTGCCAGTGACTCAGCTACTAGTACGCAGCTAGATAGCAAAATAGATGGTTTTTAAGGCCCATAGACCAAACAACAAAGCCCCAAAAGCACATAGTTTCAAAACCCAAATATCCCCTGTCGCTACAGATCTGATAAAACAAACAACAACATGAGCGGTTTGGATTTGCTCGAGAAGTTCCTGTTGTCTGCAGCAGGAGAACGGGAGCTTCAGGCACTTCCGGACTACACTTCCCCACCCTTACCTATTGCGTTAGAGGCCACTCCTGAACCATATCGCGATGATGCTGTCATAGATGAGGCCAGAGCCATTGCTGCAGCAGGAAACTGCACTGTTGATGGTAATCGTTGTCAGATCCCCTTTACCGTCTCCCCAACTCTCTTCCCTGAACCCAGCAAGGTTGGAATGATCTTTTACAATGGTGGGCTGGTTGATCCCCGTGGTTATGCTCCAATTGCCGACATTGTTGCAGACCGCTATGGAATTCCTACCGTGATGCCCATTTTTGAAGGCGATCGAGCCTTTTCGTTTGGACTTTGTGATTCTGGACGTTTGGACTTGGCTAAAGCTGAATTTCCGGATGTGGAAAAGTGGGTGTTAGCAGGACATTCCTTTGGAGGAATTGCTGCCATGAGGTAAGCCATTGAAAAACGCCTTGAGATATCTTGCAGAACTTTCAGGCATCGCTCACTGTACAGGAATGTATCATCAAACTCAAACAATTAACAGTGACATGTGGCAGCGAATGGAAGCTGGTGATGATGCCGCAGCTGGGCTTGTGATGGTGGCTGCTGACATTCAACAATTGGGCTGTGGTGATATCGACTACTCCAACAGCAGTTTGCCCATGGCATCATTGACCGGATCATTGGATGGAGTATTGAACATGACACGTTGGGAACAAAACACGATCTATCTATCTCCAGAAACAGAATTTATGGATATCTATGGTGCCAGCCATGCTTCATTTGGAGCATATGATGCTTCAGAACGCTTTGAGTTGCTTGGTCAGACTGATGGAGAGCCACTGGTCCCTTCCAGCATTGTTTGGGATCTTACTGCTGCTGCCTTTGCTCATGTGGCATCCCGTACTGGTGTTGAGCTGCCCACACGAGTGGACCCACCAGAGCCAACATTCCACGAGAATTCACAAGATGAAAAGGTGGAAAAGAATGATCCCGAGGAGACGGAGGCCAAGGAAGCCGAACAAGCTGCATCTGCGGGAATCGTTTCTGTCCGCAAAGCACCTTGGTCTTGGATGGCTGCGGCAGCTACCTTAGCTTGGATTGTTGCCTGAGTGAGTTGATGTTTGTGCTTCGTTTTGAAGTCGTCCGAACCCCTTCCAGTAGAACAATCTGCAAACCATTCGCGCGGTCCTATGGTGTCAAATACGTGAATCCTTTAAAATTACACCTGCATCGATTAGCTTCGCCAGTCCACGGGGACAAGCTTAGCTACCCCGAACTGCGCTAGCCTATAACCTAGTAGCAACCGTATTGTCTGTGACTTGGTGGCAAAAACCTTTGCTTTTTGAGTAGTCTACTTTTGCTTGCTGGGTGAGCTGCTCTGTTGGCAGTTATCGAGAAGTCGAGTCGCACAAGAGTGAAGTGCAAGCCATCAAAACTTGGCCACCTCCAACTATCTAGACTACCGCAGGAGCAACCTCTTAGGTAATGGAGCTGGGAGGGTGACACAAGCAGAGATGACACCGCAAGTCCTCACAATGCCAGTCCACCGTTGCCTCACCCTTTTGGCCCGTGCTATTCCTTTACTAAATAAGCCGCTCTGCTGCATTATGCTCTCCTTGACGACACCCGAGATCTTGTGAGAAGAAAGGTCTGGCCTCCTTCTTTGCTACAGTGTGTACCGGTATTGTGGTTTGTGGTATTGTATCGTACAGGTATCATATTTCGTTTGTTGGGTACCATGAGCCTCTTCTATGATCGAGAGAAGCAGAGAAGGACTGATCGAGAGAGACTGGAGAATATCTTTCAGGCGTTGTTCGAACTTCGCCAAGGCGACGATGTGGACATTGCCAATGCTGAAGAGGAACGGGTAGCTACTTCTACTCCCATCATTGATAGTAGTAGCAATAATGATGAAGGATCCGAACGCCACATCCAGTTACTCGAGCAAGCCCTGGAAGTGCTAGAAGGACAGAACGACTTCTGCCTGGATCTGTTTCCCGAGTCATACCGTGCCGATGAGGATGACATTGTCGCCCACTACATTCCTCTCAATCTGCTGTTGATGGCGGGTGCCACGGAACAAATGATTGCCCGCGTCTGCCGTTGGAACAGGGAGCAACTCACGTGTCGACGGGATACCGGCCATCCGCCACTTCATTTTGCCTTGCATCGTTACCAAAGGAACCGAGTCAATCCCCACCATTCCTATTGGATTCGTGACGACGCCATTCTGGAAGTGGCACGCCAAGGTGGCCCCGACGTACTCTCCTGTTTTGATATACTGGGAAACTATCCGTTATCTCTGGCTCTGCAACACCAAAGTGACAATCATGAATTTGTGCAACAGTTGATTGATCTCTATCCGGCCATTTGTGATGGGTGTCACAAGGACAACTGTGGGAGTATTCCTCTGGGAACCGCCATTGCCTACCAGGCGCACCGAAACGTCAAACAGCTCTTGATAAATCGACTACGATTCAGTTTGCCACGCAGTCACAATGCACAAGAACTTGTCTTGTCCTTGTGGGATTGCACCAACGAGGAGGAAGCAGTAGTCAATCCAACCGGCAATTTGATCGATGCACAGACAGCCCAAGATATCTTGGCAGTCGTCTTGCCACAGTTCCAGTCAGTGACACTCGAATGTGACGGGTGGACGGATGATGGTCTGGACGTGTTCTTGCGCCATTTTCCATCGATGCGTCCTTCTACCGTGTCTCCAACCAAAGTGGCGGCAATCAAGTGTCATTTGACTTTGCCGTACCATCAAATCTCTCGAGGTCAACCACACGTACGGAAACTCTTTAGCAATTTTTTGATACAGACGTTAACGGGCCGCTTGAAACTGGACCCGTGTGAATGGGACGAGACAAGCCCATCAGCAAATCAGCATGGTGATACAGACGACAATCATCCTCATCACCATGCATCACTGCTGGACGCATTGGCCAATGGTATCAGGCTCAATCATCGGCAAAACACGAACCAGCTCCAAGAGGTACAGATCACCGGTCTATGCCTTCCCGACGTTCCATGCCTACTCGAATATCTTCTCGGTGACGCTACTCCCACGACCCTAAACTTGTTTGATCTGAAACTACTCAACAGCAGCAACACGCACATTGATTTGAACTTGAACGACGACGAAAGACCAATCAACAGTCATCTCCGACATTTGAATTTGCGCAATCCCGGAAAGGGGTCGTACTTGGTATTGAGTCCGATATTACGAGGTCTCGGCAAGCTGCCACAACTGAAATCACTCTGTCTTACATCCAACCCATGGGATGGTAAAAATTGCGGGGATCCGAGCAAGGAATCCCCGATCCTGACGAATGCCTTGGTCGAGCTCGTACAACAAGCACCAAGTCTCCAAGAATTGACCATGGTGGGCTACGAAACCGACCATGCACGGCTCGCCACGGCTTTACAACGCAACACCACACTCCAACAATTGTTTGTGCGCGACTCTACATTCTACAAGACAACCGACCCCATCTGGCTGGATCTGTTACAGCATCACAATGCCACTCTCCAGCGGTTGGACATTACTGTTCATGCCAACAATCCCAAACTATACTACTATTTGACATTGAATGCACTGGGGAGAGCCACGTGTCGCAATCCGCAAACGCCCGTCTCCAAGTTGATCCAACTGCTGCTGGGTGTTCCTCAGCGGCACGACGATACTGTCGCGGCACACGTATACGTTTACGGCTTGTTGCGCGAGACACCCAGCATTTGGTGCTCCTCTTTCCGAGAAGAACGGCTCTACTAGCTCGCTAAAGTTTTTGATTGGCATACGATAGTCTAGCTATATGATTTTATGTAATCTCTAAGGAAGACTCACAAGCGTACCGGTAGTCGAGAGAACTTGGAGGAACCTTCCATAGTTCAAGCACGTGGCTACATGTCAAATTGCTTTATTCAGAATTGATACAATACCCTCTCAGTTGTGCCACTATAGCACCGGTACCGGTAGCTATTCGTTTCAGATTGGAGCATTTCTACACGCGGACTGTTCCTGTCATTGGTTTTGCCCCTGCGAGCAAGTGCGCGTGCATTCTCTGAAACCAGAAACAGCAAACAAATCAAACATTTTTCGTGGAAGAGCAACTGTGAAAGGTGAAGGCAAGCAACGATGAGCAGCAGCAGCAACAACGAGAAAGTGAACATTCGCTTTGAAACTCTTGATGGGCGCTTCTTTGATTGCCAGCTAGGTTCTTCTCGTGAAATGGCTGTCAAGACGAAGGCCATCAAACCGCTCTTGGAAGACCAGTTTGTGAGATTGTGAGGGATCATGATATCCTCAACAACCTGAACAGTCAGCTGTGAGATAGTGAGGGATCATAAGATCCTGAACAATCTAGAAGGTCAGCATGCTTCCAACCCTGACAGCAGTGGTGCTGCCTCAACTGATGGAGATTGAAATATGAACAGGCAAACAGTTGAGAATAGGTATAGGATAGAGTAAAATAGCTCACAATGTAGCAAAAACCCTCACGCTTCCTCTGCGCATTATGCTACATGCTTCGAGCAGCTCCTTCACTTACATTGTCTAGGAGCACCTCGTGAGTATAGGTCTATAGACCCAAGTGCCTGCAATTCTTTAGATACCAAGCACAAGCACAATTCCATTCGAGATCTCGAAGGAATCACATACAAGATTTCGGATTCAAGCTCTGAAGAGCAACAGCAGCCTCCTGAGAGAGAACAAAGAGCATCAAGAAGAGCTGATCAGATTCAAGAAGCAGGCAGGCAATTGCAAAGAACGAGAGACCGAATACAGAGACGGAGAGAAAGGCTGCAAGCAGAACAACAGCCAGCAATCATGGACGCAGCCCAGATCACCGCCATCGTGCAAGCTGCAGTAGCAGCAGCACTCCAAAACCAGAACGTTTTGGATGCCACCAGACCACAGCCGCAACCTGCAGCAGCAGTCCCATTCGCAGTCACCCCTGCTGGTGCTGGAAACAACGCATGGGATTTTACCTCACCAACAGGGCTTCGCATCTTCATGGCTTCCATCACCCCATTCCCTGTCAAGTACGACGGAAAGGAGCACCTTCTTCGTGACTTCCTACGTCAGATCTACCAAAGAGCTGAGTCATATGGGTGGATTGGAATCCTCCTCATCACGGATGACAATGGCACAGTTAGGAACATCACCAACCAGCATGGCTGCCTGTCGAAGGACAACGTGACCAATCACGCGATAACTTACCTCAGGCAACAGGGTAGACTCCACCAAGCATCGGTTTGCCTTCGCAAACTTATCATGGCATCGGTCACGTCCAAGCTTGCAGACCGATTGGCGACTCGCAAGGTCGACTACACCGTGAACGCGGCAGCTGCAGCACAGGGCGCTGCAGCAGCACCACCCCCAATCATGAAGGAGGACGGTACATGTATGCTTTACCAGCTGATCAAGATGGTATCCGTCGAGACCATTACAACCGTCACGATCATAACCAAGAAGCTCAACAACCTCGAACATATCATGGAGGCAGCAAAGTCCAACATCGAAGTCTTCAACACCATGGTTGACGACCTCATCTCTCAACTCCAAGCAAGGAGCGCACAGGTGCCACCAATGATTGGTAATTTGTTTGACGGATATGCCAACTGCTCTGACGTCGCATTTGCCAAGTACATGGAATCCAAGAGAGACTCATATGAGGACGGAACTCTCATCTTGCCAAGACATGATAACCTCATGATGATCGCACTCGAGAAGTACAAGATCATGCAGGACAGGAAGGTCTGGCTGAAGAAGTCCGAGGAACAAATGGAGATCATGACTCTCAAGGCAGAAGTCACCAAGCTTCGTGGCAGGACCAACGCCAAACCACCTCCTGCCAAGGCAGCGGGAGAAGGAAAGAAGACAGTTCAAGGCAAGGATGATGACAAGTATGCATGGAAACTTGTAGCACCCAAGGAAGGAGAGCCCCAGCAGAAGACCGTCAATGGCAAGAAGTACATCTATTGCCCGTACCACCAAACGACCAAGTGGGTCTTGGAGGTCAACAACAAGGGAGTTGTCCACCGCACAGGCTGTGAGAAGATGAAGGAAGCCCTGACATCCAACAAGGCGATCGAAGCTGATGATCAGGACGCCGAAGCAGCAGCCCTCGCCAACGCGATTGAAGACGCAGGATCCAACACCCTCCTTCCCATTCCTGTTGAGGAGCTCTGATGGCGATGGAGTGGAGGATACCTGTCGCGTATTATCGTAGAGTGTTGTAATCACTATAGTGACCAACTTTCTGTTACGTTTGCCCTTCAGCCTCTGCTCTTAGCCATAGCCATAGCGCGATTCCTAGCCACCATCAGTGGCATTAGGAGGGATCTCTCAAGTGGTGGATGATGATTGAAAGAAGGATCGATGACGCCGCTGAAGAGGCTCATCTCACCGAAATGATGACGTTCCTGGCAGTCGAAAACGCCTCCGGACTCATCAGGTGGACCGCTGAAATATGCCAGCACCCCATGTCATTCCTGTTCTTCAGTGTACTGATCGAAGGACCCACGAATATGTTCATGAGAATGACAGCTGCAACAGCAGCCAGCGCCGTGGACACGACAATTTATGCGTTTGCCAGCACCGAGTTCGGGGCGGCATTGCTCGTGTTTGGGGCAACGACGAGAACCTTATTGAAGTGGGGTTCGCAACCAAACGAACCACCACCTTACGTCCAGAAGAGACTCAGGAGGAGGCAGTCGCTCCTGTGGAGAGCCTACAGCAAGACATTGCAGATTGCGACTCACTTGTCAGTGAGGACGATCGGGACCCTGCTGTTGATGACGCAGTTGGCGCAATTGTCAGTCAGAGAATCGTCCGGGGCGCCACAGACAGAACGACGTCGGTCCGATCAGGACGACCCATTCTTGGATCAAGATCCGGAGACAGATGAACCATACACTTGCTATGCGACAAGTACAAGAGGGCGTGTACGCCGACCACACTCTGGGACCTCAAGCCAGCAGACACGGATCACGGCCCCACGGTGTTCCAGCTCTTCATCAGGTTCCTTCTCGTGTTGAAAGGAGGGCTTGATCTTATCTGTGACGAGAGCAACCCATTGGTAGTGATGCAGTTGATCATGTACTCTCTGTCTGGAGACATGAATCGCAACGCCGAGGACCACCAGTACGACGCAGACTCAGTGTTGATAGCCATCGACAACTGCTCATCAAGGTGTATCACCAACTGCATGAAGGACTTCATAGGCAAGCCCGAAAGGGTCAGTGTCAAGGTGCAAGGAATCGGTGGATCCGTGACAGCCACGTTTCGGGGAACCGTTCGATGGTCAATCGAAGATGATGATGGAAAGGTGCATCACTTTGTCATTCCACACACGTACTTCAATCCATCAACCCCGTATCGACTACTCTCTCCTCAGCATTGGGCGAGAGCATCAAACGACAATTTGCCCAACAAAAGAGGGACTTGGTGTGCGACATACGAGGATGCGGTAGAACTCTTCTGGAAACAGAGAAGGTTCAAAAGAGTGATCCCGTTGTCAACCACCAGCAACATCGCGCTGGTTCGCAGTGCACCGTCATTTTCGAAGCTGCACGCATTTTGCCTAGAGATTGCCCCAACACTGGCAAGCGACAGAACCAACACAGCGATAGATGAGACAGAACTGCTGAGCTGTCCAGCGGCCACAGTAACCGACGACGATGGATCGGTCACGTCTCAGGAGTCATGCAGCGACGACTCGGATGATGAGATTGAAAGGCTTCACCCAGATCTGCCAAGGGATATCCTGGAACACGGCAGTCGGGCAACCGAGTTCCAACAAAAGGTCACTGACGCCTTCAAAATGGGAAAGGACTTGAACAAAATTGCCCAGACACCAGTGGTTGAGCATGACTACACCCGTTTCAAGGATGAAAGCACGGAGATGTTGTCATGGCATTATCGACTGGGTCACATCTCCTATGAAAGGATCCGCAAACTGGCTCAGAGAGGAGCTCTGCCAGCAACCCTGATCAAGGCAAGGGCGCCGAAGTGCGCCAGCTGTATGTTTGGAAAGGCAACCAAGAGGGCGTGGCGGACCAGAACACCAGTCAACCAGAACAAAGACATGGTGCCCAATGCTACAGCTCCCGGTTTCGTGATCGGAGTGGACCAGTTGATCTCATCGACGCCAGGACTTGTCGGACAGATGAGAGGACTGTTGACGCGAAAGAGATACAGCGTAAGCACGGTGTTTGTGGACCATTACAGCGGCCTGTCATACGTACACTTTCAGGTGTCCACGTCCGCGGAACAGACCATTCTGGCAAAGAGAGCATTCGAAAGGTATGCCAGAACATTTGGGGTGACGATGAAGCATTACCATGGAGACAATGGGATATTCGAGAGCAAGGCGTTTGTCGAGGAAGTTCACAGATGTGGACAGACAATCACCTACGCGGCAGTTAATGCCCATCACATGAATGGTCGAGCCGAAAAGAAGATCAGAGATCTGCAGGAAGCTGCCAGAACCATGATCCTCTACGCCAAACAGAGGTGGCCCAACGCAATAACAGCCCACCTGTGGCCATACGCAGTCAGGTATGCGAATGACATCGCGAACGCAACTCCAATCCTCAAGGGCAATGATCACATCTCTCCAATTGAGCTGTTTTCTGGAGTCGATGTCAAGCCAAAAGTGAAGAACGTGCACACATTCGGATCTCCAGTGTACGTACTGGACGATCGGGCGCAACAAGGGAAGCCAATGCCCAAATGGGAGCACAAGGCAAGAATAGGGATCTACCTCGGAATGTCTCCACGACACTCGAGGAAGGTGGCATTGGTTCTGAGGCCGGTCTCTACCGGAGCGACTAAGGGACCGACTAAAGGAAACCTTTAGGTGGTTGTTTAGTTCAAGATTTAGTCATTATCCTTTAGTAATGGTGGTGTCTACCAGCAGATGACTAAATCTCGGACTAAACAATTTAGTCAGTTCTTTAGTCATTTGGACCTGTCTCCCCAGCACTAAACAAATGACTAAACGGAACACTAGTGGACTTAAAGGACTCAAACAAGATTTAACAAACGTGATCACTTGGTGGGCTACCAATATTCTATCAGCATGGTGGATTTAAAGGACTCAAACAAAGACTTAAAAGAAGTGATTACTTTTTTGAGATAACAAGACTCAAAACACACCATTGCGATGCACCTCTACTACATGTATCATTCAATCGTTCGATCCTTTGCATTTGATCGTTCGCACCTCTCCTCTATTGGCACTGATTCGATGGCCTAATAGTGAGGCTAGGAGTGTGAATTTGTTATCGGCCGATACTCCTCTTCGATCGATACTCCTCTTCGATCGTTCGATCGTTTGCACCTCTACTACTCCTCTTCGATCGTTCGATCGTTTGCACCTCTACCGGTACTATCGGCCGATACTCCTCTTCGGTCGTTCGATCCGATACTCCTCTTCGATCGTTCGATCGGTTGCACCTCTACTCTATCAGCTCTGTCGCGATGCTCTGATAGTGAGGCTGTGCAATGAGGGTGCTGTTCTTTTTTCAAAGTGCTGTTCTTTTTTTAAAGAGTTCTTAAACAAGCTTTAGTCCGTACAACGTTTAGTCCCTATGGTAGACACCACCCACAGAGACTAAACTATCGACTAAACTATGAAATATGGCTTAGTCGCTACTTTAGTCGCTCCGGTAGAGACCGGCCTGAGTCTGAAGACTGGACTTGTGTCTCCGCAGTTCCATTGCCAGTTCGACGACCTATGCGACACATTATGCCAGAGCAGCGGCAATCTACCTCCACCATCGAAGTGGCAAGAGAGAGCTGGATTCACTGAAAGTAGCAGTGATGGAACGACGGAGCATCACCATCGTGAGAGACCAGTCGAAACTGTTCATCCAAAAGGGTGGAAAGAACAATCCACGAGTCAGGAGGATGGCAGTCGCGCACCCCATGAGTGGGATTCAACGCACGATTCGACTCCCCCGCGAGCAGAAGACATATTGCGCGAGGATTTCGGAATCCACCAAGAAACCAATGACAATGACGGAGACGACAACGACAGTATAAGGGATCGACAACAGCGGCAACAACGACCGCAGCAGCAGAGGCCAACAGGTCAACAACGAATAAATGAGCTCAACGACCGACGCACCAGTAGAGGGCGACGAGTCCGTTTGCCGGAGTGGCTTCAAGAAGACTTCGAGATCTCGATGGCAGCCATTCCATGGGAGGTCTTCCACGATGAAGGATACCAGATCCAGGATGATATGCAGGACCCGATAGCATTTGCTGGAGCATCGGCCAACCCCGACATCATGTATATAGACGGGGCGATGGCAGCACCAGACTCGAAGAACTTTAGAGAGGCTATGGTCAAGGAAGTTGACTCTCACGGAGATTTCAAGCACTGGAGAATAGTCCGGAGAGACGTTATCCCGAAAGGGACTAAGCTGCTCCCAGCGGTATGGGCGTTCAGACGCAAGAGAAGGATTGCCACGCAAGAAGTGTACAAGTGGAAGGCAAGGCTCAACGTTCATGGGGAAAACAGACCAAGTACGTGAATTATTGGGAGACCTACGCCCCCGTGGTTGGCTGGACAACCATCCGCACCTTCTTGATCCTGATGTTGGTCAACAAGTGGAAATCGAGGCAGGTGGATTTCATTCTCGCTTTCCCACAGGCAGACATCGAATGCGAAATGTACATGGAGATCCCACAAGGATTCAGTGTCGATCGATCGTCAGGGAGCGCAAAGCTCAAGCAAACAAGCGACAAAAGGCGATACCACGGAGAGCACTGTCTCTTACTGGAGAAGAACCTGTACGGACAAAAGCAGGCCGGAAGAGTGTGGAACAGATACATGCATGAGGGACTCATAGCACGAGGATTCACACAAAGCACGGTTGACATGTGCCTGTACTACAAAGACAACGTCATTCTCTTGATCTACGTGGATGACGGAATCTTCATTGCTCCCACAGACAAGGAAGTAGACGACGCATTTAACTCTCTGTTGAAGCCGTACGTTGACAAAGATGGGAAGGAATTCAGGGCGTTCAATATGACAAATGAAGGAATGCTTTCCGACTACCTGGGAGTGAAGATCGAAGAATTACCGAACGGACTGATCAAGCTGTCACAGCCTCACATGATCAAACAGATTCTCAGTGACATGGGATACGACGAAGGGACCAAGTCACAGCCAACGCCGGCATTGTCAACAGTCAGGCTTCACAGAGACGTTGCCGGAGAAGAATTCAACGAGGAGTGGCAATACAGGAGCATCATTGGAAAGCTCAACTTTCTAGAGAAGTCAACAAGGCCAGACCTGGCTTACGCAGTGCATCAGTGCGCACGGTTCGCTTCAGATCCCAAGCAGTCACATTCTACAGCAGTGAAGAGGATCGCGAGGTACCTCGTGGGCACGGCTGACAAGGGCATCATACTCAATCCACAGGCGTGTTCTTTCGACGTGTTTGTGGACGCAGACTTCGTTGGAAATTGGAACAGAGCTACGGCAGATGTTGATCCGGGAACAGCTAGATCAAGAACTGGGTTCGTGATCATGTATGCCAGCTGCCAGTTACGTGGGGATCGAAGCTTCAACGAGAAGTAGCGCTATCCACGACGGAGGCAGAGTACAACGCTCTGTCTGAGTCACTAAGAGACACGATCTATTTGATGCAACTAATCGATGAGTCCACCAGGCAACTCAAGTGGAGAACACACGACAAACCACCAGTAGTCCATTGCAAAGTATTCGAGGACAACGTGGGAGCATTGGAAATGGCACTGGAGCCTAAGATGAGGCCCAGGACCAAACACATTTGTGTTAAGATGCATCATTTCAGAGACCACGTCAGAAGCAAGAAGATAACAATACACAAGATTCCTAGCCGATATCAATTGGCAGATATAGCAACGAAGCCACAACCCGTGTCATTGTTTGAGTCACAGCGAGAGAGTATCTTGCAGTGGGACGCAGAAATAATGACAGCAGCACAACTCGAGCAGCCTGCGAAGCATCTGAGGGTGTGTGAGATAGTGAGGGATCATAAGATCCTGAACAATCTAGAAGGTCAGCATGCTTCCAACCCTGACAGCAGTGGTGCTGCCTCAACTGATGGAGATTGAAATATGAACAGGCAAACAGTTGAGAATAGGTATAGGATAGAGTAAAATAGCTCACAATGTAGCAAAAACCCTCAGTCAGCATGCTTCCAACCCTGCCAGTAGCCCTGCATCCTCAACTGCAGTTGTTTGAAATATGTACAAGCAACTGCAGAAATATCAACAGGCAACAGTTGAGTTTAGATAGGTAGATAAGGAGTTTATAGCACACAATGTAGCAAAAACCCTCACGCTTCCTCTGCGCAAGTTTTGCTACGTACTTCGAGCAACGCCTTGTACTTACATCCAGTTCAAGGCGCAGCTCGCGGTCACAGCACCTAACTCACTATCGTGTGTCCAAGGAGCTGCTCTATAGACCTGGAGGACTGTCGACCTCCAGATCGTCATACAGATAGCTAGCCAAAGGAAATTCGACTTCCTCTGAACACTAGTTTTCCTTAGCAGCTAAGGAAAAGCCACAAAGATTTCAGACTCCAGTTCAGACGACCAAGTCCAGCCTCCTGATAGGGAAACAAGAGCTGCAAGGCGATCAGAACAGGTACAAGAACTCACCAGGCAACTGCAAAGGACAAGAGATCGTTTGCAGAGAAGAAGAGAAAGGCAACAAGCCCTCCAACAGTTACCCAACATGGATCCAGTCGCGATCCAGAATGCAGTGCAGGCAGCAGTGGCCGCCGTATTGCAGGACCAAGCCGTCATCAACGCAATCCGCCCTCCGGTAGTAGTGCCTCAACCAGCACCCCCTGTTCCATTCGCAGTCAATCCAGCTGGAGCGGGAAACGCACCGTGGGACTTTACGTCACCTACCGGCCTGAAGATTTTCATTGCGTCTACCACTCCCCTCAGCGTCACTTATGACGGAAAGGAGGACACTCTACGTGATTTCCTTCGCAAGATCTATCAGAGGGCCGAGTCATACGGATGGACCGGCATTCTCATGGTATTGGACACAAGTGGAACGTTGAGGAACATCACCACCCATCATGGCTGCATCACTCTTGCAAACGTTCAGGCACATGCGACAACATACTTACGTCTGGAGCAGCGTGAACACCAAGCCTCAGTTTGCCTCAGGAAACTGATCATCGGATCCATCACTCCCAAACTCGCTGATCGTCTGGCTACGAGAAGCGACAGGTACATCATCAACGCGGCAGCAGCAGCGCAGCCAGGACAACCAGCACCTGCCCCCATCATGATAGAGGATGGCACATGCATGTTGCATGAGATCATCAAGCTGATCTTGGTCGAAACCAGGGCGTCGGTTGCCATCATTACAAAGAAACTAACCAACCTGGAAGCCATCATGGAAGAAGCCAAGTCCGATGTGCAGGAATTCAATTCCAGAGTTGAAGAGCTGATTTCTCAGCTCGACGCGAGGAGTGTGGAAATCCCCCCCATGCTTGAGAACTTTTTTGAAGGATATACAAACTGCGCCGACCTCAAGTTCGTTGAGTACATGGCCAGGAAACAGGAGGCATACGAAGATGCCACCATCGATCTTGAGTATCCAGCTCTCATGAAGATGGCACTCGAGAGGTTCAAGATTCTCGTGGACAAGAAGGTCTGGCTCAAGAAGACTGAGCAAGAGCTCGAGATTCTCACGCTCAAAGCCGAGATCTCGCATCTCAAGACCTCCCCGTCAAGCACCAAGTCGGGATCGTCATCTGGAAAGAAGGCTGTGAAGAAAGGCAAGGACGACGACAAGTATGCCTGGAAGCAGGTGGCTCCGAAGGAAGGAGAGCCACATGATGTCACCCGTGATGGAAAGGAGTACATTTATTGTCCCCACCATCATACCACCAAATGGGTTCTCAAAGTCAACAACAAGGGCGTCGAGCACAGGACCGGTTGCAGCAAGCTCAAAGAGATGGGCGACAGGGCGCAGCAGGGACAGTCGGCAGCCGCTTTGGCAAATGCGATGGAAGAGACTGACGCCGATACATCTCAGGAGCCAGAGGACGAGAGCATTTGATGGTGGCGGAGTAGAGTCATGATTCCCACTTTTCTTGTTAACCACTTTAGTGACCAAGTTTGTGTTTCTCAGTCTCTGCTCTTAGCCATAGTCTCGATAGCAGTAGCTATCTCCCAGTTCGTCGAAGCTGTGGATCAAGCCAGACGGAGTACCGTAAGGCAACTCCTGATCACGGAGAAAGCAATAGACGATGCCGCGGAAGAAGCACAGCTCCAGTTGGGGCTGTGCATGCTCGCGGTCAGCAACGTCCATCAAGTCGCCACCTGGACGGTGGAATTCAGTCAGCACTGGATGTCGTGGCTCGTGTATGCGATCGTGTTCGCGAGCCCAATGCAAGTCCTGGTGTACTCGGGCGTGATCATCCTCGTGGGGTTGATTGACTTAGTGACTTTCGTCACAGCATCCTCGGAACTTGGCTCGGCGATGATTACGTTCTACGCAGTCTGTTGGAATCTCTTACAGTGGGCATCAGAAGAGGATAGGGCGCCTGCGTATGTCCCAAAGAGGTTTCGCGGAACCAAGCTGTACCAACGTTGGGTGCTCATCAAAGCAAGTGCAGCTGCGGCAGCAGTCAGACGAGGAGCACAAGCCATCAAGTCCGTCATAGCGGAGATCGTGCAATCACACGAAAGGACCGTGCAAGAGACGGTGAGATCGATCCCCAACGGTGATCGTTGGGACGAGGACGATGAAGATGGTCCGTACACGACGGCCGCGAACAAGCACGCGAAAGGGAGCGCTCCATCCATGTTGTGGGATCTCGACAAGACCAACCAACATCACAGACCGACAACGTTCCAGCTGTTCATGAGGTTTCTTCACGCACTCAAAGGTGGAGCTGGTCTGGGATGGAGCGAAGGAAGCCCAATAGTGGCGATGCAATTGGTTCTCCTATCTCTGAGTGGCTCATTCAACAATAGCTCCAGAGATCACTCGTATGACACGGACTCAGTTCTCATTGCCATTGACAACTGCTCATCGAGGTGCATTACCAACTGCATGCAGGACTTCATCGACACCCCAAAGAAGGTCAACGTGTCCGTGCAGGGAATAGGAGGCACAGTCATGGCCACGTACAAGGGAACCGTCAGGTGGGCGATCGAAGATCAGAGCGGGAGAGTGCATCATTTCCTCATCCCGGACACCTATTTCAATGCAGCCACGCCCTATCGGCTACTGTCCCCACAGCACTGGGCGGCCGTGGCAAATGACAATTCACCGAACAAAAGGGGAACTTGGTGTGCCACGTATCAGGACGCCGTGGAGCTGTTCTGGGACCAAAGGCAGTTCACGAGGGTCATCCCACTGTCTCCGAGGAACAATATCGCAATAGTCAGAAGTGCCCCTTCATTCGCGAAACTCCATGCCTTTTGTGCAGAAGTAGCGCAAGAGAACGGGCAGCAGCCAATTGATGAGTCGGAGCTATTTGCCATGCCCGCGGCGGCAGTGTCTGACAACGACAGCTCAGTCAGTACCGAAGACAGCGACCACAGTGATGATGAGGAACCAATCAGCAGGCTGCATCCGGATCTCCCTGATGACGTGATACGACAACGGGAACGCAGCAAGGATTTCCAGCAGAGCGATGAATCCAGCAACCTCACCAATGCCTATTCCCCTGGTCATGCAGCTGTTGACACTATTGTGTTCTGATGACAGGTACTCAATCACCTTCAAAGATCATGAAGGGATAGGTGACTTTGAGGGCAATGGAATTGACTTGGACACCCTAGGAAACATGACCCGCGATCAGCTTGTCAAGTGGCTTAATGCCTCAGTGATGGACTGGGGTCCTATCAATGATTATATTCGTCGATTTGCCTGTTCCTTCTATGTGCAAAGCTCTGACTACGACAGCGTCTCTGCACTCAAGAAGATTCAAGGAGTGGTTCCCTTTCTCAAAGAACACAATCTCTTCCTCCGCCAACACAGCCTAGAGGAATCCCAAACTGCCACAGTATGCTACATTGCAGGGAAGAATCCTAAGAAGACCTTCCGCGATGGCCTGTTACCCAGGGTATCCAGTTGGCTACGTCAGCAGAGGCCTTCCATCACCTGTCCCATTGCCATTGTTCCAACCAAAGTCAGGTCGATACTGAGAAGTTGACATCCTTGGTATCCAGGTGGGAATCACCGATCGCCAGCCTTTGAGAAACTTATGAAAGCCATGCCAAGGATCCCACTCTGCAACACCCCAGTTGGATCTCCTCAGTCCAAAATTGAACAAGATCAGCAGACAAAGAAAGCACCATGACTTATGAAGAAGGCAGTTATCAACATATGGATGTCATCAATGCCACCACAGGTGTTCCCCTTCAAGATCTGAATCAAACTTTGAGGATGAAATTCGTCTTGCTCTTAGAGAAGATGTCACTGCCAATGGCAACCCCTGTGTTGGATCTGGAACGCCAAAATCCTATGCCACTGCAGGACAGTACTATGCATCTGCCAGAAGAGTGCAAGAGACACCGTGGTGACAAACTCACGATATCTTCTCAGATGCCACCATCTTCCCACAAGACTATGCCCTGAAAGATGAGGAACCCTCTGTCATTAAAGACAACCCCGAACTCCAAGGGATGATTCTTGGATCATACTCATACAGCAGTCGCTCCTTTCAAACACTTATCAAGATGAATGCCTCTATTGCTTCAGTGAGGCAATCAATTGGCGACAAAGTCAGGGTAACCCTGGGGGAAACAAGGCTTTCAACGCACGCGTGAACAAAAACCTCCGTCTCTGTACCAGACTATGAGCTACACTGATGGCCATGAGTGTTACTAGTGATAGCACAGTCCAAAATAAAGCAGCCTTAAGCACAGTGGGTAACAGTCAGACACAGTCACACTAACCATGCTAGCAACAGACTATCTCTCTCTTTTT